TGAATATTACATTGATAAAAGTCGAATTTCCAAAAAAGCAGAAAACTGCGAAAATATACCTACAACTCATATTGCAGTACTATGATTTTTTTTTCTAAATTCTTGTCAAACAGAAACTGTACCGATATCGAAACTGCAAATAGTGAACTAAATTAGAGAGTTTCGCCAAAAATACTTATTAACTCCGCTTCGAATAACAATAAATTACAGTACAATATTAGTACGAGCAAGCAATAATTAAGAATATACAATACTTTAGTCTTGGAGAAAATAATTTATTTATTAGTTGTAATTAGTTCTAAACTAGCTTTCAGGACCTGCGTGTAATTCTTTTCTTTCTGTTTTTTTTAATGTTAGTTTTGTGTGCTTCGTACTTATCTATCAAGTTTAGCCATTTTATTATTTGGACTGTTTCACATGTTTCTTGTCAGAGTCTTTTCAGGCTGCCTTTGTACGGTAAGGGTTTGTCGGTGACCTATAATTGCTTATATTCATGTCATTTTGACTCTTTTAGACAGTTGTCTCATTGGCAATCGTATCACATCTCCTTATTTTCATATTATTATTTACATGTAGTAATGATTACTGCTAAAAGAAGTAAGTGAACTATTAAAGTTCATTTGCTTTATATCGTTTGTCTTTTGTCGAAAACTCAAATTCTCTTAGACCAGTAATATATCCATTTCAGAACATTGTGGCGTGTGGCTTTGAAATTCTTGGTTGGTTACTTAATTAATATCATTTCATATATGTTTCTTTTGGAGCTTTTTAATAGTTTGGCAAGGGGGTTTTGATACGTATGTTTTTGACAATGTGCTTACACAAATTCGAATCGAGTTCAAATTACTCCTCAAACAATCCAAATAAATAATGAATAGTGAGAAAATCAGACACCAACAGACACTCTTATTTGCATGCTAGCTTTAGGACACAAATAAAAGCTGATAAGTTTTATGAGATACTTTGAGAAGCGACGAAGTAACATGCAAAACAGCTATTACAATCTAGTATTCTAGATGATAAGTAATGTAGTAATATGACTAAAGTGTTTTTGCGACATAATTCGGGTACACGACAATTTTTAAAGTCTTTTCTTCCAGTCATTATGATGGTTATGCAAAGGAGTAAAATATTTGTAACTTTAAGACAGATGAGTGTATTTTATTTATATTTAAACGACTTTTATATTTGTTTCAACGGCAAAAGATTAATATCCTACAAAAGAATTAATAAGGAAATTATCAAGTGTTTTCTTTCACTTATTTCCTTATTACACTCAAGAAATATAATAATTAAAGTTTAAAAAAAAAATCTATCTTGGTTAACTTGTTAACTCCATTAAAGCCGGAGGTATACGTATGACGAGAACCATTAATTGACCTCTAGATTACAGAATCGTAAAATTAACACTTTCAGTATTTTGCTACGGTGTAAAAGTAAAAAGGACAATACAATCTGGACATTGCAGCACAGAAAGATAGTTGATATAATCTGGACACTGCATCAATTCAGAAAGGTTAACTTATATAATATTGACACTGCAGTGCAGAAAGGTTAACTTATGTCACTAGTGTCAATATTATTATTGACACAGCACTGCAGAAAGGTTAGCTGATATTAACTTTGATATGCTTGTACTATTAGGCCAGAAATGACCATTTTACGAATAATTTTGGCAAAATTATATATAAAACACAGTCAAACCATACTGATAGTTTACCAACGTCAATATCTTCGTAAAAAAGTATATTGTAGCAAAAGAGATAAATAACAAAAATATGTCTTTGTGACATGAAGTATGAATACAGTTTTATTTCCATGTAACATCATACTAACTGAACCTAATAAATAGTTTCTGATAACATTTTCGTCTTTAATAGATGTCATACAGGGACACTGTTATACTATGACATAATGAATACAAAGTATAAAAATAGGCTTGCATTATGACTTGAAAAATGTTTAAAATTATGACGTGCATTATTGGGGTAAATTCAGTAAATAAATATACGCCTTCAGGGACCGCCCATTTGGGGAGAGATTTCTGTATAACACTGAAGTCCTGTGCTCTTCTGATTGGTAGATAATGTTTGTAATAAATATTGTTTGATAGATGAATCAAGACTTAATCTAATTTTTTGGCTGAGTCAATTTGTTTTACAACAATGTTGAATAAAAGTGTGATAAATGGTCATCCAAAACATCAATTAAACAAAACAAATTGACATCTATAGTAAATGTAAATTACGTGGGACAATACAAATAGCTGAATTTTATAAGTCTATTTAGATATCATTTAATCCCTAAAACATATAAGATATGTGTTTGCGTGTATGAATCGTGGACCTAATGTGTCCACCCAACTGTTATTCTATAGATACAGTCTAGATCCTCTAAAAGAAAGGGCAAAACTGTATGTATCATGGTCATATTCGCACGAAAGGATGTGAAATACCCAATGTATCAGATGTTATGTATAGTTAATAATTTGTAATAGTCAACATTTAGTCTTATTTATTTCTTCCTCTGCCTGTAGATCTACTAGTATACTGGATGGGGGACCAAAAAAGGTGATAATAACATTACAGTACTAATAAAATATAAGTGACATGAACATTTTAATAAAAAAACAAAACTTTAGATTGTGAAATCGAAACGGGGAATGTTTGCATGAAAAAAATAAGTTAAGTATTTAAGAGCCAATCTGCCAGAAAACCATGCAAAACCGTCCGAATGTCACTTTTTCCAAATGAGTTCATATTTGGCATATTGGTGCACCTTAGTAATGTCAATAACCACACAAATTTTTTTGGGAAAATATTAAACCGATCTGGATATTTTTTGAGCGCCATGTTTTAACAGATGAAATTGCTCGAAAACAGCAAAAATAAGCCTTTTTTGGCATATTTCGCTGGTTTAAATAAAAAAATGTGGTAACATTTAGAATTTTTTGATAGTTGTTCCTAGTAATACATCACTTTAAGTGTAAGAATGCATAGAATTAACAATGCTGTCTATTAAGTTTATGTATAATCTAACTGTTTCAATATGTCTTATTTAGCTACATGTCCAAAATGGCTGATTTTGGTCATCTTTCAGAGCCAAAATACTCCAAGACCCGTTTATTATTGTAAAACAACATATCTACTTGCAAAGTATCACTATATATACCTAATCAAAAAAAATATCAAGCTCGGCAAATAATGTTGGTGTCTGGTATATGCCACAACAAAATGGGGTAACCTGCATATTCAAATTTTCTCAATTTTGCTGTCTAATTTGTAACTACTGACATATGATAGGATCTGGACTTATAAATAAGTATAACAACAAATGGAAAAGAATAATTTATGTTTCATTTAATACATTAAGAAAAAAATCATACATAAATACAAATTATTCATTATAAATCTAGAGGCTCCCAGGAGCTGAAATAGATCGTATTGACAAATTGTGCACCTAAAACGATAAAAAACACATATTTCAAACGCAATCAATTTAAATTAGAAGTTAAACAATTCAGAATAAGTTCAGACTGTAAAAAAAAAGTTTCTTCTGACCACTTTTGCAATTTATTCTTATAATATACTGATATAGTTGTCGGATAGTAGCAGAAAACTGTGAAAATTTGTAAATTTACACATTTCAGGGACAATAGCTCATAGATGTTATGTCCAATTTTTCAGAAAAATTTTTAGTATTTAGATCTTGTCATGTTGATAGTTTTTATCAATATATATATATTTTGAAAAGTTTTTAAATTTTGTATACATATATATATGTATGACACTTCTTCTAAAGTTATTAAGATGATGGTTTAAAAGTGAAAACTGTAAACAGATGATTTTAACAGACACTTAGTGATGGAAATTTTTTTATGACCCTTTGAGCCTAGTATGCTAACAAGGCAAGATTTGCCAGGTACCTATATCTATGTTGCTGCAATGTGGTCAATACAAACATGAAAATCATAAATGCTTTTAAAAAGAACCTTAGTGAGCACGCTCACATACCCCACGTCCCCACATTGTCATTGGAGAAATAAAATAAGTGTAAGTAAAAAAAATTGTATCAGAAAAAAAATTGAATCATAATTTCCTGTCAATGTGCACATCTACGTAGTATGTCCTTATTATCTACACAGTTTCATGAAATTCTGTTGTGTGGTTTGAGAGGAGTTGCGATGACAAAAGGTTGCAGTAGTATATTGGGCAAATAAGTTCAAAGGGGCGTAATTCCTGGAAAAAAAATTGAATCGTAATTTCCTGTCGATATCCACATCTACGTAGTATGTCCTTTTTATCTGAAAAGGTTTCATGAAATTCTGTTGTGTGGTTTGTGAGGAGTTGCGATGACAAAAGGTTGCAGTAGTATATTGGGCAAATAAGTTCAAAGGGGCGTAAATCTTGGAAAAAAAATTGAATCGTAATTTCCTGTCGATATGCTCATCTACGTAGTATGTCCTTATTATCTGAAAAGGTTTCATGAAATTCTGTTGTGTGGTTTGAGAGGAGTTGCGATGACAAAAGGTTGCAGTAGTATATTGGGCAAATAAGTTCAAAGGGGCGTAACTCCTGGCCTAAAAATTGAATCGTAATTTCCTGTCGATATGCACATCTACGTAGTATGTCCTTATTATCTAAAAAGGTTTCATGAAATTCTGTTGTGTGGTTTGAGAGGAGTTGCGATGACAAAAGGTTGCAGTAGTATATTGGGCAAATAAGTTCAAAGGGGCGTAACTCCTGGAAAAAAAATTAAATCGTAATTTCCTGTCGATATGCACATCTACGTAGTATGTCCTTATTATCTGAAAAGGTTTCATGAAATTCTTTTGTGTGGTTTGAGAGGAGTTGCGATGACAAACTGTTGCAGTAGTACATTAAAGTAAATAAGTTCAAAGGGGCGTAACTCCTAGAAAAAGAATTGAATCGTAATTTCCTGTCTATATGCACAACTACATAGTATGTCCTTATTATCTAAAAAGGTTTCGTGAAATTCTGTTGTGTGGTTTGAGAGGAGTTGCGATGACAAGAAACAGGACTGACGGACTGACGGACGGGTCAAAAACATTATACCCTCCGCAACTCGTTGCGTGGGGTATAAAAAAATACCATAACTAGACGAAAAACAAATTACTTAGTCTATATATACCAGTGCAAAATTTATAAAGAATTTTGAATGAAATTGGATAGCTGTTAAGATTACTGTACCTATAATGCTCTACATCACATCCTCGGAGATAACAGAATTAAAATAAGTCATATGAATCTTCAAATTTCAATAAAGTTGAATGAGTTTTTTTATACTTGAACGGCTATAGGTTTTACTATAAAACAAGTGTACATTAACTTTCTTGTAAAAGAAAAACCATAACATTAAAATCTCCATAAATGATGAACTGTTATTTTTTGAGACATCATCCCATGGAAGATTTAACTGATGTTTTAAAGTTGGAAAGTTTCTGTTGCTTGTTTGGTTGGTTTAAATTGTTTCTGTTAGAAGCATTATCAGTCTCCCAATCTGATGTTGACTCAGTGCTGTGAAAGTTCAGTTGTTGTTGACACTGACAGAAAGGTTAGCTGCAAGTCTAGATCTGAAAACCACAAAACATACATACATAAATCAGGCTGTTAGTTTTCATATTTTTTCATTTTCTTATTTTGGGGCCTTTTATGGCTGAATATATATGCAGTATAGGTCTTGCTCATTGTTGAAGGCCATATGGCGTATGAAGACCTATAGCTTTACTTCTATGTCATTTGTTCTCATTGGCAATCATACCACATTTTTTTTTAATTTCATATATACCACTGACAGGAAATAAAATTGACAACTTTTACTGTAAGTGGATGCAGTTACAAAATTCTCCCAACTAAAGCCAAATCATTTTTGCAGAATATTTATTATCCACTCCTTTTAAGCATGTCCAAATAGCCCTTAACATCTTTACAACAATAAAAATTGCCTCCATTTGGTTTGGCATGTCAAATTACCTCTCAATATAATTTTACATTGAAAACAGACAATGGTGATAATTTGACCGCTTTTAGTGACAATCTTTGAAATGGTGGCCATCTTTATATCTGTCCTCTCTGTCAAAGTACAGCTAAATATCAATATTCTTTAAAATCAAACTCAACAAAATTGAAAATTTTACCCTTTTTTTTGCTGTGTCCATCTTTAAAAAAAAATTTCATTGTTTTGTTGGCATGTCAAAAGTGCTATAATTCCTTAATGTCAATTTTCATATAAGGCCATCTTGAAAATGTTTGCCATTTTGGAAGAAAAAACAACCTTACTTTGTTTAGCAAGTCAAACTACCACGACTATCCCTAATTAACAATTTTCATTAAATTAACCAGTGTTGAAATTTGTGCCATCCTTGGTGGCCATCTTGAAAATGTTTGACATCAGATAATATCCACATATTGTGCTTTTCTTTTCACTAAAGTTTCATTTAAAAAGATAACACCAGTTATCTCAGAAAAGGACAAATTTTGTGGAAGATGAAGAAAAAATGCAAGTTTGGACAGAACATTCAAGCTATAACAGCTCTAAATTTGTAATGGGATTAAATATTTGACAAAGAATAGGTTTCTAACACAGAATAAATATGGTATAAAGATAAAGTTTAATAGATTCAGCATATCAGAGAACCCCAAGATCAAATTAAAATTTAAAATTTAGTTTAATTTTGGACCCTTTGGACCTCAATGTAAACCAATTTCATAATAGGGCCCAAAAACTAAATACAGGTTAGATTCAGGCTGAATCAGCATCTTTAAAATTATTGTTGAAATCAAACACAGTTAAATTATGGACCCCATTTGAACCAACTTGAAAACTGGGACCAAAATCATAAATCTAAGTACATATTTATATTCAGGATATTTGATTATTTCTATTTATCATTCAAAGGACCCCAATTCATTGTAATTAGAGTTCAAGTTTTGTTAAAATTAAACTAAGTTAAAATTTGGACCCTTTGGACTTTAAAATGTGGACAAATTTGAAAACTGGACCGAAATTAAAAATCTAAATATAAAACATTTGCATTTTGTATATCAAAAGAACCTCAAGAATTCAAGTTGTGTAGAAATAAGAAAAAAAATTTTGGACCATTTTGAAATCAATGTGAACCAATTTAAAATGGGGCCCAATTGCAACATCTTAAATTATTTAAATACATTGTTAGATTTAGCATATTAAGAACCCAAATAATGTATTTATTTTAATTTGTTCTTGTCCTAAACATGCATCAACTATTTGCCATTGGACATTAGCATTACCAACAACCAATCAATTAATGGAACAGGTGAAATATCTTCAAAAGTACCAATAAAAATCTCCCCCTTTTATATTTGAAAAAGTAAAATCACAAAAATACTGAACTCCGAGGAAAATTCAAAAAGGAAAGTCCCCAATCAAATGGCAAAATCAAAAGTTCAAACACATCAAACGAATGGATAACAACTGTCATATTCCTGACTTGGTACAGGCATTTTCTATGTAGAAAATGGTGGATTGAACCTGGTTTTATAGCTAGATAATAAACCTCTCACTTGTATGACAGTCGCATCAAATTCCATTATATTGACAACGATGCATGAACAAAACAAACAGACACAATAGGTAAAATTGTCAAAAATAGGGGTACAGCAGTCAACATTGTGCTATCATCTTAATCACTATAAAAACAAACAAATGTAACGAAGAAGCACAAAAAGGCATACATCAAATTTAACATCCTCATTTTGCTTATATTATACGATTTTATATATCTATGTAAAATCCACCCATAAAGGATGGAAGGTTTTAAGTACTCGCGTAAAATCGCGCGTTTGAAATTCGCACAGGTAGACATAAAATAATTTTGTCGTTCAAAGTATGACGGGATACATAAATACAGAGTCACGTAAAATGGATATCACAAAAAACAGACTTAACAGTAAAAGTAATACGTATTAATAAATAAAATAATTGAAATGGAATGTATGAACAGTTCATTAGTCATTGTTAGTTATTGAATGGAAACTATAGGAGCCGCCCAATATAGTACTACAAATTAAAATTAGCAAAGTGATTTTTCAATGGGAAAACCAAGTTAACAAAGACCTGTTTAATAAAACTGATGTACAAATGTATAACATGTACTTGTATAATTATGTTATTATATAAGTGATTACATATACTTTGTATGATTACCATGTTATACAAACAGTTAAATTAATATATAAGTTAATAATAACTTACCAATATCTTCTTCTATACATGTATTTAGTTTGACCTGGCTATTGTCACTTTTACAAAAATTCATCTTAATTGAGCATTGCTTGCATATATATAGCCCTACAAATAAAAAGTTTTAAACTATAAAATAATTCTTCAATTTTGTTTTACATGAAATAAAATATATCAGACAGGAAATGTAGGGTAGTGTAGCATCACTGTGCATGTAGTTTAAATGTATGTTTTTTTCTTTTAAAAAGGGTTCTATAAGTAATCTACATACATGTACATGTAGGGTCCTAAAATTGAACCTTACAAAAGTTTGCAATGCTTTTGATTTTTTTAGTCTCCATGGCCTATTAGTTCATTAAAAAAATATTATTCTCTGGATAAAGTTATCTAGTGTTACATGTACAGTTTGTTGTATGTAAAACATGTATTTGTAGGAGGCTTTTCCACGAGATAAAACTTTTTTTAGTAGACAAAGAGCTGAACAACTTCCAGTAAGAACTGAAAATATAACTTAGGGGAAGAGAATAAAAACCTGACCTGCTAAACGTTGAATATGTTGAAATAGATTTTGATTATTATCATGATTCTGGTCTATAAATTGATTTTTTAAAGCAGAAAATCAATATATATTGTACCCTGGTTAACAGCTTGAAAATTAAAATTCTGTCCTAAGCTGACAAGGACATAAATATTTTGACCATTCTAACCCTCCCACTTGCTTTTTTAATCAAATGGTCCCAAGACAGAACAATGTATATACGGATATATATTATTTGCTTGCACTTTGCCATAGGAAATAAATAAGATGTCTTAGAAACAGGTCAGGTGTAAAAGAATATTCACATGCCCCTTCAACACCCCCCCCCCTTTTTTTAATCTAGCTAATGTATCAATTGTTGGTCCCCTAATTTCAGATTGACTATATGGAACAAATGAAAATTGATTGTAAGATTTGTACCTGTTCCTACTAGAATAACTCGTCCTGTATACAGCCTGTTTTGAAAGGGTGAAGATCCTTGGTCAGCTTTGGCTTTGCTGGAAGAGGGTTGGACGTGATGTTGACATCTTGCTTGACTATCATGTCAATGAATTCCGTAAAAGTCCCTGTAGTTCGAGCATATTCAAAGACAAGATGATGTAACAACCATGGGAAAATAAACCACTCCTTGTCTTATATAAAATAAGGAGTCCTGTTGGAAATTCTACACCATAGTTTTCAGTATTATTCAGACTTCCTAAATGTAGAAGAATGGTAGTCTGTATCTGTATGAATATGTTATTTACCAATGCTGGTTTCAATACCACGGTAGAGAGAGTGTCGTTGATTTATTGATGGTGGGCCAGAGCAGTTTTGACAATCTCAATCTCAATTTTGGTGCGAGCAAGGTGGTTCCACTCGCTCACTTTTTTTTTACGAAGAATGATTTAGAATACTTTTGTTTTGCTCGTTGAAATCTAAAAACACTTTTTGCTGTTCATGGACTTATTTTTCCAATCAATATTTATCATGTTTATTCACTAAATTATTGTCATGATTGTCAAATTTCTTGGCAGTAATTATTCTGTTTGGAAATGCTATTTTGGTCTTTAGTGCATTCAGATATCTTAAATAGTTTGTAATATGTAGATGTATAAGGCTGGGATAGCCCACATGCTCATTCTAGATTATTAAAGTCACAAACTTCACTGTAAACATTTGTCTGCCAAACCATCACTGGGAGCTGACATGTTTGAGATCTTACCCAAGGGAGATAAGTCAATGAAAGAGCATAAAAGATGGACTCCCTGGTTTCAGACAATTTATTGATTTTTGGACTTGCAGTCTATACGTCTTATTTCATTTTTCAGACAAATTGATTTTACTTGTTCGAATGATTTTATGAGCCATTTTAGTACCAATTGTGTTTAGAATTTAATTAAAATCAAAATCAAAATGTGTCAATTTGGGACTAAAATCACCTTTCTTCCAAGGCATAAATTAACATATAATAGTCATTTGCCAAGCTTAATATTTTGTTTTGATATAAAACATACCCCATAGTTAAAACCGATATAAGTTGCAAACAAATCCGGAATGGGTCTTGCAAGTTAGAAGCGAATGAAAACCACGTAAATTCATGTATGAAAAACCCCGCCTTTGTGTCCCTGCTCCTGGCAATGTGCCAAATCGTTTAAATTTTCATTTGTTTTGATCATAACATAGTAAAATGGATGAGTTTCAGCTGACATTACTCTAAAAACTCAACTACCCCATTTAATATGCTTCTGGGTCATTCTTAAAAGGCATAAAAAAGTTGGATTTTTCCTTGGTTTCATTATGAATTTACAGAATTATGCAAATGAGGCTGTTACTAAAAATAGATACGATTCTGGGAAAAATTAAGTGGTCAAATTCTTTTATTTCATGTCAAGGATTAAGATGATGTATAAAAATTTGTCAAGTTGTGATTGTCGATTTGGACGATTTTCTGAATATTGCATGGTTTTCTGGCGGATTGGCTCTTAAGTGTCAGTCTCCCTAACGACCAGGCAGTGACAAAAACATGATAGTCTCAGATTTTGATGAAAATTTGCACAAATCATCTACATAACATGTTATAAAGAAAAACATACTTTTCAGACCAAATATATATGGTTGATATGGAGACATGGCCATTTGATTTTTCCAAAGTAACAAGTAATGTAGGTTAATATAAAACCCAGTTTTTCACTATTTCAGTCTCATGAAATCTGCTGTTTATATAAAATCTAGTATTTTTCCATTGTAGTGCAATTTTTTACCAGACCTGCTTCCATCATAGGTGACACAGGTAAAAATACATTGTAGTATACATACCTATGCCAATTAACAGATCAGGTAAAAACAAAAACATAAGAGTGAAAAACTTTTGGACTAGCATCTACTCTTATCTGAGTGAGACTATGAAGACCATTACGAAAATAAACTGACAACACCATGGCTAAAACAGACAAAAAAGTACACAAAACACAACATAGAAAACTAAAGACTGAGCAACACGAGCCCCAACAAAAACTGGGGGGATATCAGGTACTCCTTAAGGGACAACAGATCCTGCTCAACATGTGGCACCCGTCGTGTTTCTCATGATTGTACAAACACGTTAATAATTCTAATTCGGTAGGTCATATTCGAGAAAAAGGGAACGGGATTGGAGTTACATTAGGAACATATCCGCTATCATCTGTGAAACGGATATTCGATAACGGTCAACCAAGTCGTGATGGCGTCTGTAAAACTTACGAAGGGATAATATTAACTTCGCCACTTGGACCTCTTGGTTTAATAGCTTCCTTGTGAGCAGCAACCCTCTATCAAGGAAATCACGATAGGAAATAAAGCCTTGGAATATCTTATCAACTGGGAGACATATATTCCAAATGCAGGCGCTGCTGGAATGTTGCTACATAGAAATGGAAAGTTCACAATTGGGAATCTGAAATCATCTCTTTTGTCGTAAAGATTTGTTTTAACCGACCCTTACTATCAATTTCTTACGTAAGTCAAGATATGAGGAAGACTTAACTGTATCTGTTGTATCCTTTATCTCAATTTCGATGGGATAGATGCGTTCAACATAGTCATCAAATTCTGAATTATTTAGTGAGTGAACATCATCTTTATAGCGGAAAGTAAAGTTAGAGGATACTGCTAACTTCTTATCTTTCTTCCTAAGAAGTTCCTGTATGAAGTCAGCCTCATATGAATTAAGGAGCAAGTCGACAAGAAGAGGGCACAGTTTGTGACCATGGGAATGCCAATTATTTTATTGAAAAACACCTGTTCCAAACGTAACAAAAATGTTGTCAATCAAGAAATCAAGCATCTTGATAATGTCAGTTTCAGAAAATTTATTGATTGAATCAGAGTAATTTTGTACAAAGTAGGATTTATCCCTCCCTAAGACAAGATACTTATATCTACGTTGGCCATTCTTTTTGATGAAACAAAGCAGGACCAACTCTTTCAATTTGATTTTAGTTTTGAATGGGGAATACTTGTGTAAAGTGTAGAAAAGTCAAATGTTTTAATACTATTTTAAGATGAAAAAGTCTTAGATTGTATGTATTCTAAAAGATATTTTGAATTTTTTAGTATCTACGTTTGATACACGCCACCTCTAGAACAGGTAGTTTCACAATAACTTTGAGGCCCGGCTTTGATTGCTGTTAAAACTGATTTTAATAACTTAAAAATAGGTTTCGTGGAGCACTTGGAAGACAAAGCAATATACTGTTTTTTCTAAGGACACTTATGTAGTTTAGGTATCCAATACAGTGATGGAAGATCCAGTTCTTAGTGCAACATACAGACAATTTTTCGTTTTGAGCCAAACATTGATTGTTTTTTTTTTTTTTTTTTTTTATTAAATACAAATTGTTGCATAAATAACTTCAGCTTACTGCCTATATGTAAATAAGAAGATGTGGTATGAGTGCCAATGAGACAACAATTCATCCAAGTCACAATGTGTAAAAAGTAAACAGTTATAGGTCAAAGCCTTCAACACGGAGCCTTGTCTCACACCGAACAGCAAGCTATAAAGGGCCCCAAAAAGACCAATGGAAAACAATTCAAACAGGAAAAGCAACGGTTTATTCTATATAAAAAACGAGATACTAGAAACGCGTATGAACCACACCAAAACAAAAAGACAACCACTGAACAATAGGCTCCTGACTTAGGACAGGTGCATACAAATACAGCGGGTTTAAACGTTTTAACAGGCGCCAACCTTCACCCTAACCTGAAACAGTGGTAAGACATTACAACATAAAAAGACACAAAATAAAATATCAATTGAAATGGCTTAACTCGATCAAAAAGACAATACACAAAAACAATTAAATAAACACTGAACGAATAAGTTTGATCTGACATAATATAAATAAAAAAGATGCTTCAATGTCAAAAAGACAACTTTAACCTAGGACAACATGGCCTTAAATAAAGTAATGTACACAGGTAAAATTAAATATAATAATATATTATATAATAATATATATACCGGTATATGATATTCATTACTTATTCGTTAATTCTTGACATCGAATCTGGTGAATGAATTATTGATTTGCGTTGTGAGCCAAGTTGAAGATGAATTAAAAATATTAGTTTGTATATCTTAGTTCATTGTTCCGAGAATAAAAAACTCCATTAAAAGTTGGATTTTAAAGGAATATTGATGTTGAAGTATTCAAACGAACCATATGTAGATTAATAACTACATTATAAACAGACCTGTTCCGTTGAATCACACTTTGCACAATTTGATTTCAAGTGTTTCATCAATTTCCCTATATTCTTCATAGCACAATGCATCTGATATAAACCCCACAAAAAGTTTTATTCCTTAACTTTGAGGATATTTTGTTGACATACTAAACTTAGTAAGGTAACATAGAAATACGTATATTTCCATGAGGTAGTATTCGTAAAACCTGAAGAAAAAATTGTTCGTGTAACATAAGATACTGATTAAAAACCACTTATAAATGTGTATACATCTGATTGTCGTGTAGTCTGCTTTCACTCTGAGTTTAAGTCAGTAATAATGTTTGTTTGTTCCTACAGAAAAAAATAACACTTTTGTGATCCCTTTTATAACCTTGGTAGAACATCCGCATCATCAACATATATGCTTGTAAAATATTTTTTATTGCTCAAATCAAATATAAATGCATTTAATCAAAAGTTTAATATATAAATATAACATTTCTGTTTTCTCGTTGGCTACATGCATAAGGAAGCCACTTTTGTAAAACATTATATATTCACCAAGGGAAAAATCATGAGGTGTTAATATGAGATTTGGGACAGCTATCTTGTACTAAATAGTAAATTTCTAAACAATGTCAATGACGTATATTTATGACGTCATGCAAATTCTTGTTCTTGTTTTTTCTTTTTTCGGTGTTATTTTTTTTTTTAATATTTCAACTTATAAACATTTAAAAAAGTCACGCAATAAATCAATTATTGACTTTTGATATCAGTTGATACAATGATTTATTCTTCATTGCAATGTTTTATTACTTTGCAAACAGTATGTGTAATATTACTTAAATATGAAAACATGTCCGTATTGGCCAACCATACAACACGAATCTGTGTCCAAACTTGTCTATCTAACCAGAAATAAAATACTGTAATAAAAGTAGAAAAAAATAGTCAAATTAAAACAAGAAAATCATCATATGATTAAATCTTCTAAATTTCGAATCCCGGAAATATCAAATGACTCAAATTCACTCAATCATTATATTACAATTATTATTGATACTATTGGTATAAATTTAATTTTAATTCATATACACGTACATATGTATTCCTCTTTTCAATATGGTATAATTTTGTTGAACAATATAACATATTAATGATATTTAATTTGATAATGTTTGGGAAGTAAGAATGTGTGCATATGAAACAAAATGCCACATGAAAAGAAATTTAAGGAAAGTTAAATAAATATTAGTTTCTTTTATTTTAAACAATTCATTAAGGAAATCCTATTCTTAATTTAAAAAAGTGTTACAAAGCAATTATTATACAACTTTTTACTGAAATAGCCGTAGCAACGCGGATATTATTCCGGATGTCACATGTACAAATGTCATATTAACCCAGTCTAAGATAGATACAACAGACAACAATGTATCCATCACATCTTTATATTTACATGTTTGTGATATTTGGAAGTTCACTTAGTGGTGAGTTCATTATTTTTATCATAATAATAATTTATAATATAAAACAGGTAATATACATGAAAAATTCATATATCTATATACATATATATAACAGATCTTAAAATGTTAACGCCGTTCTTTAATTAGTATACAGGATGAATAATTGTATATCCATGTATTATAAATTAACAAACCTTAAAATGTTAACGCCGTTCTTTAATTAGTATACAGGATGAATAATTGTATATCCATGTATTATAAATTAACAAACCTTAAAATGTTTATGTCGTTTATTAATTATGATACATGATCTAGATAAAAAGAATATTACATTGATAAAAGTCGAATTTCCAAAAAAGCAGAAAACTGCGAAAATATACCTACAACTCATATTGCAGTCCTATGATTTATTTTTCTAAATTCTTGTCAAACAGAAACTGTACCGATATCGAAACTGCAAATAGTGAACTAAATGATAGAGTTTCGCCAAAAATACTTATTAACTCCGCTCCGAATAACAATAAATTACAGTACAATATTGATACGAGCAAGGAATAATTAAGAATATACAATACTTTAGTCTTGGAGAAAATAATTTATTTATTAGTTGTAATTAGTTCTAAATTAGCTTTCAGGACCTGCGAGTAATTCTTTTTCTGTCTGCTTTTAATTCATATACACGTACATATGTATTCCTCTTTTCAATATGGTATAATTTTGTTGAACAATATGACATATTAATGATATTTTTAATTTGATAATGTTTGGGAAGTAAGAATGTGTGCATATGAAACAAAATGCCACATGAAAAGAAATTTAAGGAAAGTTAAATAAATATTAGTTTCTTTTATTTTAAACAATTCATTAAGGAAATCCTATTCTTAATTTAAAAAAGGGTTACAAAGCAATTATTATACAACTTGTTACTGAAATAGCCGTAGCAACGCGGATATTATTCCGGATGTCACATGTACAAATGTCATATTAACCCAGTCTAAGATAGATACAACAGACAACAATGTATCCATCACATCTTTATATTTACATGTTTGTGATATTTGGAAGTTCACTTAGTGGTGAGTTCATTATTTTTATCATAATAATAATTTATAATATAAAACAGGTAATATACATGAAAAATTCATATATCTATATACATATATATATATATATATATATATATATATATATATATATATATATATATATATATATATATATATATATATATATATATATAACAGATCTTAAAATGTTAACGCCGTTCTTTAATTAGTATACAGGATGAATAATTGTATATCCATGTATTATAAATTAACAAACCTTAAAATGTTAACGCCGTTCTTTAATTAGTATACAGGATAAATAATTGTATATCCATGTATTATAAATTAACAAACCTTAAAATGTTTATGTCGTTTATTAATTATGATACATGATCTAGATAAAAAGAATATTACATTGATAAAAGTCGAATTTCCAAAAAAGCAGAAAACTGCGAAATATACCTACAACTCATATTGCAGTCCTATGATTTATTTTTCTAAATTCTTGTCAAACAGAAACTGTACCGATATCGAAACTGCAAATAGTGAACTAAATGATAGAGTTTCGCCAAAAATACTTATGAACTCCGCTCCGAATAACAATAAATTACAGTACAATATTGATACGAGCAAGGAATAATTAAGAATATACAATACTTTAGTCTTGGAGAAAATAATTTATTTATTAGTTGTAATTAGTTCTAAATTAGCATTCAGGACCTGCGAGTAATTCTTTTTCTGTCTGCTTTTTTAATGTTAGTTTTGTGTGCTTCGTACTTATCTATCAAGTTTAGCCATTTTATTATTTGGACTGTTTCACATGTTTCTTGTCAGAGTCTTTTCAGGCTGCCTGTGTACGGTAAGGGTTTGTCGGTGACCTATAATTGCTTATATTCATGTCATTTTGACTCTTTTAGATAGTTGTCTCATTGGCAATCGTATCACATCTCCTTATTTTCATATTATTATTTACATGTAGTAATGATTACTGCTAAAAGAAGTAAATGAACTATTAAAGTTCATTTGCTTTATATCGTTTGTCTTTTGTCGAAAACTCAAATTCTCTTAGACCAGTATTATATTCATTTCAGAACATTGTGGCGTGTGGCTTTGAAATTCTTGGTTGGTTACTTAATTAATATCATTTCATATATGTTTCTTTTGGAGCTTTTTAATAGTTTGGCAATGGGGTTTTGATACGTATGTTTTTGACAATGTGCTTACACAAATTCGAATCGAGTTCAAATTACTCCTCAAACAATCCAAATAAATAATGAATAGTGAGAAAATCAGACACCAACAGACACTCTTATGTGCATGCTAGCTTTAGGACACAAATAAAAGCTGATTAGTTCTATGAGATACTTTGAGAAGCGACGAAGTAACATGCAAAACAGCTATTAAAATCTAGTATTGTAGATGATAAGTAATGTAGTAATATGACTAAAGTGTTTTTGCGACATAATTCGGGTACACGACAATTTTTAAAGTCTTTACTTCCAGTCATAATGATGGTTATGCAAAGGAGTAAAATATTTGTAACTTTAAGACAGATTAGTGAATTTTATTTATATCTAAACGACTTTTATATTTGTTTCAACGGCAAAAGATTAATATCCTTCAAAAGATTATAAGGAAATTATCAAGTGTTTTCTTTCACTTATTTTCTTATTACACTCAAGGAAAACAATAATTAAGGACAGAAATTAAAGCTGATTAATCCTATGAGATACTTTGAGAAGTGACGAAGTAACATGCAAAACAGCTATTACAATCTTGTATTGTAGTAATAAGTAATGTAGTATTATGACTAAAGTGTTTTTGCGACATAATTCGGCTACACGACAATTTTTAAAGTCTTTTCTTCCAGTCATAATGATGGTTATGCAAAGGAGTATAATATTTGTAACTTTAAGACAGATGAGTATATTTTATTTATATTTAAACGACTTTTATATTTGTTTCAACGGCAAAAGATTAATATCCTACAAAAGAATTAATAAGGAAATTATCAAGTGTTTTCTTTCACTTATTTCCTTATTACACTCAAAAAATATAATAATTTAAGTTTTAAAAAAAATTTCTATCTTGATTAACTTGTTAACTCCATTAAAGCCGGAGGTATATGTATGACGAGAACCATTAATTGACCTTTAGATTACAGAAATCGTAAAAATAACACTTTCAGTATTTCGCTACGGTGTAAAAGTAAAAAGGACAATACAATCTGGACATTGCAGCGCAGAAAGATAGTTGATATAATCTGGACACTGCATCAGTTCAGAAAGGTTAACTTATATAATATTGACACTGCAGTGCAGAAAGGTTAACTTATGTCACTAGTGTCAATATTATTATTGACACAGCACTGCAGAAAGGTTAGCTGATATTAACTTTGATATGCTTGTACTATTAGGCCAGAAATGACCATTTTACGAATAATTTTGGCAAAATTATATATAAAACACAGTCAAACCATACTGATAGTTTACCAACGTCAATATCTTCGTAAAAAAGTATATTGTAGCAAAAAAGATAAATAACAAAAATATGTCTTTGTGACATGAAGTATGAATACAGTTTTATTTCCATGTAACATAATACTAACTTAACCTAATAAATAGTTTCTGATAACATTTTCGTCTTTAATAGATGTCATACAGGGACACTGTTATACTATGACATAATGAATACAAAGTATAAAAATAGGCTTGCATTATGACTTGATAAATGTGTAAAATTATGATGTGCATTATAGGGGTAAATTCAGTAAATAAACATACGCCTTCAGGGACCGCCCATTTGGGGGAGAGATTTCTGTAAAACACTGAAGTCCTGTGCTCTTCTGATTGGTAGATAATGTTTGTAATAAATATTTTTTGATAGATGAATCAACACTTTATTTAATTTTTTTGGCTGAGTCAATTTGTTTTACAACAATGTTGAATAAAAGTGTGATAAATGGTCATGCAAAACATCAATTAAACAAAAAAAATTGACATCTATAGTAAATGTAAAAATTACGTGGGACAATACAAATAGCTGAATTTTATAAGTCTATTTAGATATCATTTAATCCCTAAAACATATAAGATATGTGTTTGCGTGTATGAATCGTCATCTTCGCTAGCCAAGGGTTTCGATCCACTTCCCTCATCTCCACCCTTGGCAGATTAAGCCAACATTTGTGATAACAATGTTGCGCCATCTATCGGTAGATTAAATTCACGCCCATTCCGAATACATTATTCTTGACCAATGGTAGCACTTGAACTCTTTAATTTGGAGGTAAAAACACGGTAGCGTCTAGATTCTACACACTTAGTAAAGCAGGAAACGAAAATATACGTTGACATTCATGCATTTGTGCAAGAAACATACACAGAAACTTCTATTAATTGATTAAAAACATTCAAATTTTCACTAAATATAGTCGTATGTTTAGGGATGTAAAGACTTGTTGCACAATAAGCACGTGCCAATTGTTTACATACACTTTCTACATTTACACGTGATCATGTTATAAGCGCTTTTTGATTGGATGCAGCGAGTTTCGACTGCAACCAATGAAAATCATTACCTTGTGTCTCCGAAATTCTATCTCAATCCGCCAAGGGTGGAGAGGAGGGAAGTGGATCGTAACCCTTGGCTAGCGAAGATGATGAATCGTGGACCTAATGTGTCCACCCACGTGTTATTCTATAGATACAGTCTAGATCCTCTAAAAGAAAGGGCAAAACTGTATGTACCATGGTCATATTCGCACGAAAGGATGTGAAATAACCAATGTATCAGATGTTATGTATAGTTAATAATATGTAATAGTCAACATTTAGTCTTATTTATTTCTTCCTCTGCCTGTAGATGCACTAGTATACTGGGTGGGGGACCAAAAAAAGGTAATAATAACATTACAGTACTAATAAAATATAAGAGACATGAACATTTTAATAAAAAAACAAAACTTTAGATTATGAAATGGAAACGGGGAATGTTTGCATGAAAAACTTAGCTTAGTATTTAAGTGTCAGTCTCCCTAACGATCAGGCAGTGACAAAAACATGATAGTCTCAGATTTTGATGAAAACTTGCACAAATCATCTACATAACATGTTATAAAGAAATACATACTTTTCAGACCAATTATATATGGTTGCTACGGAAACAGGGCCATTTGATTTTTCGAAAGTAACAAGTAATAGAGGTTAATATAAAACCCAGTTTTTCACTATTTCAGTATCATGTTATCTGCTGTTTATATAAAATCTAGTATTTCTTCATTGTACTGCAATTTTTTTAATTATCAAATATTCTTGAAGAACAGCTGTTTTGATGAAATTCTATTTCATTCCAGAAATTTGGGGTACCGATAGTTTCCAGGGACCACAATTTCCCAAAAAGCAAAAAATGCCAGAAATCAAGTTCAAATATTTTCAATTACAAGAACAGCACATACTTATTGTTACTTAATATGGAACAAGTAGTGTATACCACATGTAGTTGACATACTGCTTATAGTATCTGAGAAATAGACCTAATCTAAATCATGCAACTTTAACCATGATCACTGATCCATGAAATGAGGTCGAGGTCAAGTGAACCCTGTCTGGCGGACATGTAGACGTTGCAAGGAACCCGTATACCAAATATAGTTATCCTATTACATCGTCATAAGTGAGAAATTCACATGACAAAAAAAACATTATTTTTTGAAGAAGTCGCTGAACCATGAAAGTGAGGTCAAGGACAATATACATATGACAGACGGAAACTTCTTAACATAAGGTATCCTTGTGATACTCAACCAATCTCAACATTCAAATGTTTAAACCTCAGTCACATACATGTAATTTCTGAATTTACAGTATTCAGATTGTTCGGGTCATTTTATATTTATCATGACTTAATATTTTATCTGTCCTTCAAATTGGGTATATCTGTTTTTAGAGTTCAAACATGTCATATGCAATTTCTCCATAAATAGAGGCTAAGTTGTCATCGTTCTCTACTGAAATGTTTGTCAATTTGACGGCATGCTCTTTCATTATATCCATTCGCTAGAAACATTTTGATCTTCCTACTTAAGTGAGCAATGTTGGCAACGCAATTTGATTTGCCTGATTGAACTTTGCTGTAGTCGAATCTTTTAATCATCAATCCTTCAATATCTTGCAATTTCAGTGAAAAATCTAAATAAAATAGCAATTTATTCACAGTTCATGTTGATAATTTTAAGTTCAATGAATCAGTTTGGTTGATTGAAATGTTAATGATGGAAGTTTAAAAAACAAACACTAAGGAAATGACCATTAATTTTGGTACATGTTGGTGGACACTGGGACCAATATATAAATTTATGTATAAGTCCCAGGTGGACGATTGTTTCGTTTTTTTTGCTTACCAGTGATTTCGTAAGCACTTGTCATTTTTCGCTTTTCGAATTATCAAAAGTATTTCTCCTCTTTTTTTGTCACTAAAATATGTAAAAGTAAAAAAATAAACTTGACACAGATATGTTTTGTCTGTATGTAAATTTGACAGAAAAATGTAAATAATGAAATCAAATAGCAATACTCTGAAATGTAAAATATGCAAAATATTTAAAGTAAGTTAACCATTACTGTGAAAATAAGAAACGCCATTAATGCTAAATACAACTGCATACAAAACATCACTGAATTATCCTAAGTGGTTCGCCTTTAACTGATCTACATATTATCACATATAATTAAACTTTTAAATGTAAAATATGCAAAATATTTAAAGTAAGTTACCCATTACTGTAAAAATAAGAAATGCCATTAATGCTAAATACAACTGCATACAAAACATCACTGAATTATCCTAAGTGGTTCGCTTTTAACTGATCTACATATTATCGCATATAATTAAACTTTTAAATGTAAAATATGCAAAATATTTAAAGTAAGTTACCCATTACTGTAAAAATAAGAAATGCCATTAATGCTAAATACAACTGCATACAAAACATCACTGAATTATCCTAAGTGGTTCGCCTTTAACTGATCTACATATAATCACATATAATTAAACTTTTAAATGTAAACTATGCAAAAGGGACAGGGCCAAATAATCTCCATGGATATGAGCTGCATCAAATTGAATGCTTATACAACTGTACATGTACATCAAATATCATTTATTTATCATAAGTAGTTCCCCTTAAACTGACCTAATCGCAATTCATAACAATTCTTAACGACACGGCTATGTTTCTGAGTCGGGAAAGATCATGCATGATTTTTGTGCAAGCAAAAAAAAAACTCTTGAAGTTGTTGACAAAACATACGTAGGTGCCCTATTCACAACTCTTGTTTAGCCTTTCAAAAATGTAACCCAAATTGCTCCAGCAGAAAAATGTAGGTCATATTGACCTAGTTCTTGTTGTAATATATATATCTATATATCCTATTTCATAAGATGATATCACCAATTTCTCAAAAATGAACCAACATGCAAAATTCATATTGTAATTCAGCATCAGCATACCGACGGGGAAATCTATACATGTTATATGACATATCCAGTTGTGGAGGGGGGTGATAAAAAAATATTTTGCAGCTAAAGTGATTCTTATCTAATATCATAAAACTATGTATAAAAAAGATTTTTAACCTTAAAATATGGACGCAACGGGGGTGGGTTGAAGTAAACATTCAATTACCGGTATATAAAATATAAAAAATCAACTAATGTTAACCTCAGCAATAGTCTTCTATAAATAGTTCTTTCAAATAAGGTCTGCGTCGTTACAAATCACCTCTGCAATTACGGCATTTCCCTGAAGAAAGAAATCAAATTTGTTAAGTCTGATAAAAATATATACATGTACATGAAGAATTATGTATACAATAAAAATTTCTTTGAAGCTCTTACTTTAGACCAATTTAATAATATGCAAGTAATATCAACTTAGAAAAATCATTTCCCTGAGTACTAGCTACATGTATGCAGAATATGTTTTAACCCTTGGGAGCTAGAGTTTCAAGGGGTACATTTTTTTTAGGTAGATTCAAAAATTATAAAAAAGTGATGGTCCTTATGCAAACCAAAAATATGTGTGTGTTTAAAGTACCAAAAATAATGACCCAATATTTTATGATTAAAAATGAATACAGTAGACCTGAAAGCTTTTATTGTCATTTTTTTATAGCACTACACTAATAAAAACAATATACATTTTATACAATGTATTCCTCCTATTAACATGATTAAGCCAATAAGGTATGGTTAAGGTGTGGTTAAAAAAAATAACAGATAAAAAAAATATTTCTACAATATCACCTTCCCTAATTTATTTAAGGTCTATTTAAAAAAATAGTTGTGCCTCAAATAACCTTACCTACGCTTAAACATGGACCCTTAACATTTTTGCAAGTTTTGAACCAGCCCAATTTATATTGAGTCAAATTATTTCCCCTTTTTAAAACAGTCAAAAACTTTTAAAAACAAATTCTTTGCCTACCTATGAACATTAGTCGAAATACAGGTGTTATTTTTAGGCATATATGCATCATGATGCATGAAACCTTAAACATTTGCTAAAGCATACATGTGAACCTTCTGCCGGAAAGACAATAAAAAAATTCCCTTTTCAGGGGTCTCCTTCAGTTTTATAGTAAACGCTGATAGTTTTTCTCAACACCTTTTATAAAATATGAGAAAAAAACAATTAACTTATTTTCAATCTAACAGAAAAAAATCTGCCAAAATACAAAATATAAGCCCCCCCCTCCCCCCTCTCTCTTTTTATATTCATGTTGAACTTAAACCATTTTCAATTTTACATTAAAATTAAGGGGGGAGGAGAATGGTGTATGTCCAAAATCATCTTTGGAATATATAATAATATGTAAATAGTGTACCTGGTCTAATTTGTTTCTGTAGAAAAGGCCATGCTCATCTGAATGGCCACTGCTCTGTCTGGATTTGATCTTCCTTTGTGAGACGGTTGTGCACTTCCTTCTCTTAATATTATGCATATCCCTATGTTTTATCGATGTTTCAGACAAACGAAGTATGATTGTAAGTGGGAAAAGCCTCAAAGTCCCAATACAGTAAAAAATCAAATGTCCCTCCGACTTTGTTTTTGCATAGTTTGTTCCAAGACAAGTGGTTCAAAAGTTCTACTAGTTCGATTTATGAATTTCGAACAGCGGTATACTACTGTTGCCTTTATTTATCTACTACATTGTCCAATTAGCGTGTTGTCTTTTTCATCCTTAGAATACTGTGAACACCAACATTCATCGTCAGAAAAAGATTAAAAAACTACAGTTCAGCATTGTCTGACCACATGCATGACATCCATATTGTTTACATTAAAAGAGTTCTTCTGGGGGAAGTAACTCTGTAAATGGTGTTCTAACATGAACAATGAAGAAAGCAACAGAATCTTGGGAAAAGAATTTTGACAAGCAGACAAAAAACCCACGAGACGGAGGCTCACACCTGAAATTTATATTAGTTTAGTATTTATTTTTACAATCATTGTGATTGTACGGTTCTGGTAATAAAAATAATTTGAAATTGAAATTGGCTAATTTTACATAGAAAAATTAAAGATAGTAAACCATAAAGAACTTCGAAGTTCCAAAACATAATACTGCAAGTGATTTTCTAAAATTTGATTATACAGTTCTATTTTAACTGACTAAAGGTAACATATTTTGTGAATGAGATGAATATTCCAAATATGTCTTGTTTTGACATTTTTCGAATTTGCCTGATTCTTAGACAGACTGGCACTTAGGTCAATTGGCAAAATTTCTTGTCAATCTGGTATGTATTGAATTTTGGGTATTGACTTCTTTTTTTAATGAAAAAGCCACTAATAACCACAATTTACCTTTGTTTCCATTTGAAGGTCAAAGTTTTGTTGAGAATGAAACCTTTACTAATCAGTTGTACAGAAGGAAAAGAAGTGTAAGTATGAATTTATCATATACTCATTTAAAGTAGATATAACTTATTATACGGACAGGCTCCTTGTTGAAGGCCGTACTTTGACCTATAATTGTTAACTTTTGATGCATTGAGACTTGGATGGAGAGTTGTCTCTTTGCACTCATACCACATCTTTTTATTTATAGAAACCAGTAATTCAAATATCGAAAAAAGGCAGCCAGGATCATTCTCAACAAAGCATATAATACACCGTCAAAACAATAAGAACGGTTTACTTTTCAAAAAAGATTCATATATCACAAAGGTGTATTACTGTATAAGTGCGTAAACAGTATTGCACCTGATTATCTTAGTCAATTATTTAAATATTACCAAAATTTCAATGTAAGGTATTCTTTGCATTCATCAGACAAAAATTGTATTTTCATTGTTTATAAACGAATTGTAGAAATGGTTGACTACAATATGTAGGAATATTTTTTCCACATAAACAGGAATATGAACATTTTTACGGAAGCAAGAAGAATAAATTAAAGCAATTTACTTTAGAAAAGAATATCAAGTGACTTTAAATGTAAAATAATAAACTTTTGTAATATAATACATCATTTTCAATTGCATATATGATAATCATAAAAATATACTAATGTATCCAAACATGCTTACGTTGAAAACACTTGAATAATTTGAAAATGATAAGAAAGGAAAGCTTATTAACAGACTACTGATCGTGGTTTAAGAACCAGCTAACAAGTATGTATTTATAACTTATGTATATGTTTATGTATATGTTTAATAAAAAAAAGAGCAAACCAAAAGATTTAAAAAGAACATTGTCATATTTAACACCATAAGAACGATTGATTCAAATGGTTCAAACGCCAATAAAACAAAAGGTGCAAACATCAAGCTGTGTTTAATAGATATATCGTTTGAATACGTTTGTCTTGTATGTTTTAGGTTAATTGTGAATCGTCGAATACCCTGAAGAAATATAATTTTTATTCAGGACACACTGCATGTTTGACTGCGTCATCATCTGCTGATTTAGCCACTTCAGGTACATATTAAGTCAAAGTTCTATCAAAATAAAAGGAAATATAATTTCAAAATTACATTTTTTCCCATATTTAACTACTGGCTGTTCTAAAGACTCAATGTTAAAATAAGAAAAATTAATACATATCAGTACGGTATATTGTTTTTGAACTTAAGACATGCGAACAAAATTCTGATGTAACCTGCAGTCTAAATAACCGATTAAAAATCAAACCAATATCAAATATCAATCATTTTGTTGCCTGATTTTCAAAATGTTTCCACTAATTAATTTGACACCAATGGTAAATCTTTACCTCGATTCAAATTAATGATTTTGATGGGCTGCATCTCTTCCCAACGTCAAATATATGGTATATTAGAAATATTGTAATTATCTCCAATTTCGTTCGTTATCCTGTTTTGTTTCTGTGTGCAGTACTTTTTTTTCACAAAACATGCAATTGGAAGAGAGATGCATACAGCTCAAAATCATCATACAGACTTCAGGTTAAAGTCAAGGTTACTACGTTTATAGTGATGATTCAACACAAACAGGCTTAAACTTGAGTTAAAGCCTGTGTATAACTTCATTTTGAACACTCCTTGCTCTATGTATAACAATATCATTAAAATTTTGTCTTGAACGTACTTGCAGGCTAATGTTTAACAAACAAAAAAAAGCGATACTTCCTCGGATCAAATCATTCATTTGCCTAAACTATATTAATTCAGAGATATATCTCCGGAAGCAATTGAAGATTTAAGCTAAATCGAACCAGATAACCATTACCGGAAATACTTGCAGACTCTAGAGAACTTCAGCGGGAACATGTACAGGCACATTAAAAATCAACAAGGGCGAACTTTCATTAAAAAAAGTCGCAGACTATACTATTGAAATTCACCAGATCGTTCAAAGTCTCGTGCATATCGAAACAAGTGTGCAATAAAGCTGAAGTATAAGAGAATAAAACTAATATACTTATTTCTAGTCACACTACCGTAATATTTGACCAGAAATCTATCAAATGAAAAAGCTTTTTCTCTGAAAACTTGAAATTGGTATCTCATGTGAAATTAAGAACCTTCCACTTTTCATGTCTGTGTAATATTCTGTTTTACAATAAATAATTATTTAGTTTTCCCCTACAATAAAACTGTTCAATTCTTGATTGTAGGTGTTACCGCAGATGAGAAGACAGAAATAGTAAATAAACACAATACCTTACGATCTCTCACTCAAGCTACAAATATGATGAAAATGGTAAATAAAAAAATGGCAAAACACTCTAATAAATACGGTTCTCAACAGTAAAAGTCATAACATGAATTGCGTGACCACAATCAGAGGTTGATCATTGTATAGACTTCTATACATAACGTATTAATATTTTCAGTGTTTTCTTACTTTTCCGCCTTAATGTGATTTATTATAGCGACGGTTGCTACATCTAAAACAGAACCTAGAATTCTTTGACGCCGCCAAAGTAAATTAAAATCAAACCCCCTTCCATGTCCATACCACTGTTTCGAAATACAATCGATGCCTTTTATTTGTATAATTTGTATAATCACCAACGAGTAATTGATACTACCTAATATATGGTTATTGTTTTATGCTTAGTCTTACAAACGCCAAATAAATCTTACATTCAATAAATATTTGATCATACGAACACATAATAATTTCATCGGTTCACTAACTAGTACTTATTTAGTCTAATTTTGACTTTATATAACGACGGTTACTACATTTATAACAAAATCTAAAATTCTTTCTGGTAAAATATCATGTTTAAATAGAGCGCTTGCTACGTATGAAATGGAACTTAATACTTAACAATGACCATTTGACACCGACCACCAAAACAAAGTTTGACCAAATTCCCTTCCACGTAGCTACCAATGTGTCCGAATGCAATCGAATAACACCTTATAATTTTTTTAGAATCTAAGGTTTCAACTCACTCAGACAAAGTTGATGGATTGGGCTATTTCTTATGTCCTTTTCGGTCGTATAGCTCTCCAACTGATTCTGTTCTTTTTCAAATATTTGGCATTGGCCGTTCCTGATGAAGGTGAATCCCGAAATGCGCTTCGAACGCATGAAATTTATAACATGTTGTTTTCATTTTTTTCTTATATGTTGTTTTATGCTTAGTCAAACGAATTGAAAATCATTGATACACCAAGTAAATTCTTAGTCATATGAACACAAAATAATTGTTAAAACCTGATACCAGTTTAGTCAAACGAATACAAACTAAAATATTACCCCAACAGATGTTTAATAACAAGATTAGAAATACATAATCGCATAAATATTTTTTGTAGAGCTGGGATGACGAAACTGCATACATAGCTCAAAAATGGGCAGAAAATTGTGTGACATCACATGAGTCTCCTGGTCTGAAACGGTCCATTCCAGGTACATGTATTACTAATTAGTGTTTCGCCGCTAAAAAGAGCAATTACATGATCTGGCCTTTTATATTCAAATATTGCAAACAGACAGACAGACACATTGTTAATATAGGCGAATGTAGTACACCGCTGTTCAATAGTTAATTGTAATTGAATCAAATGTACTTGCTTTCAACAAGGACATATGTGCTTAAATATACTTTACTAACTGGACAATTGCAATGAGGCCAAGGTTAATCGTCAGTTGTAGCCCTATACAACAAATACACCACCAACATTCCATTAACATTCCACCATTATGTACAAAATGTTTGTGAGATTCTTCATGCAACTTATAATGATATTATTCCAATAGACAGCTGCCCATCAAGAAAAAAGAAATGTAAGCAGACAATGGTCTACATAACCAATTATACTTCACTACAATGATTATTTATATACGTCTATACTTTCTACAGGGAGGTTTGGACTTGGTCAAAATCTTTTCTGGGGATCCAGAAAATATGCCTGGAGTGAAGCTATACAAAGCTGGTATGATGAGATCAGCGATTTTACATTCAATGGTCAAAATGTTTTCAGTAAAATTGGACATTATACACAGGTATTTTATTTTGTATTTTATGGTTCACATTTGAGTGAAGGTTCACATTTGAGTGAAGGGCAGAATCCTAAACTCTTTGTATTTCGACTCAAAAGAGTTGGGAAAAGTTTCCCTCGAACTAACTTTATAGTAAGGCTATATTCAAATCTTTAGTACTTATCAACACAGCTTTATAATTGTACTTTGAGGTTGCAAGATTTATATCAAATCCATGTCTAATCGGACTGTCCATTCATCAATATTGTTACATGTTTTCAATCATACAAATTGTTAGGCTGTCTTTTTTATACATTATTCCCCGTAAGGTCTCTTAAAAATGAGACAAATGGTTGTCTGAATGTTTGTATTATTTCTGTATTTTACAATAAGATAGTCGGGCAAAATTCAGCAGTACTTGTTGAATTTCCTTTGTACTGAGATATGATTTTTGCTCAGTGTTGAATGTTGACTGTTTTTGTGACGCTCAGTAACTCTTATGGACACCATCACGAATTGGTCTATCTATACGATGTGTCTGTGTCTAAACTAACAAACGAAATTTTTACCACGTCTTAGATTGTGGTTTATCATCTAAATCGTCTGTCTGCTTAGTACCGAACGTGACCTATTCCTCAATATGACTGTTTTGCCGAGTGTGAATTTGAATTGCTATGCGACGTGTCTCGGTATTTATACATCCAAAATTCATGTATTTAGTTATGATGTTTCTTTTGTAAGTATAGTTGGATACTGTGTTATGTCTTATCGTTTGTGGTTTGAATTCTGTATTTTCGGTACATTTCACATATATCTTATTTGTCAGTATAGTCGAGTTATTTTCCATGGATAAAGTATTGTGTTAGTCAAAATAATTATGACTTCGTCACAGCATTAATTTAAAATGACTGTCTTAATGATGATAATTGTTTGGACTAGTGTGAAAATAATTGTGAATTTTTGGATCTCGTTCCACATAATTGTATGAGTTTCAAGATTATATATACGTCACAAAATACGTCAATTTGTGTGGCGATGATTCATTCGTGTGACGCGCAGTTTGTGGTGTCCTGTGCTGTCGTTAATGGGAAATGTCCGTTGTTATTCTGCGGTTTACATGTTGCTCAAACACTGGTGAAAAAAGAATAGTTCTAATGTAATGTAACCCTATCGGATGATGAAGATGTGAAAGAAGGTCATCGAAGCTGTTGTTCCGTTGTTTTCCTCTTAAAGTTGATGTGTTTCCCTCGGTTTTGGTTTGTGACCCGGATTTGATTTCTCTTAATCGATTTATGACTGTTGAACGGCGGTATACTACTGGTGCTTTAATCTATCTTACAATATGTAAAGCTTATGATTCATACTACATGTCTCTTTCAAAACTATTGGCAGAGAACGTACTTAAAAAGTAAACTAACAAAATACCGAACTCTAAGGGAAATTCAAAACCGAAAGTCCTTTATAGAATGGCAAAATCAAAAACTCAAACACATCTAACGAATGAACAACAACTGTCAAATTCCTGACTTAGTACAGGCATTTCCTTATGTAGAAAATGGTGGATAAATATACGAAAGCTTATCCAGGAGAAAATGTTTATCCTACCCTTTGTTTATTTACAGGTTGTTTGGGCAGATTCTATTAAACTTGGTTGTGGTTATGCCCACTGTACTACAACACGCATTCATTTGTATGTGTGTAATTATGGACCAGCGTATGTATGAAATTGATACTATATACTAAAGTATAAAATGCATTCCACCTTCTGCAAGGGTAAACATGTATAAGATACTACGGTCTAGACCGGTTATGTTGCATTTTTGTGTCTTTTCGGAAGCTTGCATAAATTGTACGTTTTCTGTCCTTTCCGAAAGCCAGGTAAGGTTTCTTTTTCTTTTTTGAGAGCCTGGGTTGATCTTTTTTTTGTACTTTTCGATAGCCAGGTTAGGTTTTGCATCTTTTGTTCCTGAAAGCCTGGATGGATTTTTTTTTTTTTTTTCTATTTTGTCCGCTTGTCTGGTTAGGTTTCACTGTTTTGTCCTTTCCGAAAGCCTGGACAGATTGTATTTTTCTTTCCTTCCAATAACCCTGTAAGGTTGCACTTTTTGTTAATCCTTGCTGTCCTAGCTGTGATTTGTTTTTATGGAGAATCTTTAGAGATTCATTATTCATTTAGTCTTCCATCTGATGCATAAACATTTTTTCAATATGAAACTATACCAATACCATGGATGGAACTGTGTCGCTTCATGTAATTGATTGAAGTAATATGTATATTGAAGCATAACTGGATAATTCCCTCCAGTATAAGACAAGACAAGTTTGACGAAAATATCCTTGTACACTGAGTGTTGTAAAAATATCAAATCATCAGCAAACAGAAAGTGTTTGCACCACTGATGTAAAAAAAATGTTTAAAGGCTACATCTCAACATTAGTAAGCTCCAGACCAAATATCAGATAATTCCCTGCTATAGAAGCCAAGAAAAGTTTGACGAAATTTTTCCTATACAGTGAATGTTGTAAAATTTCAGACAAACTGCAAACAGGAAGTGGCTACACGGCTGCTGTAAAAATTTCTTGAACGCTACAACTCAAAATTATCAAGCTCCAGACCAAATATAAAACCATTCCCTTCCATAGAGGCCACGAAAAGTTCGACGAATGTTTTCAACCAAGGTCTTTCGGACGGATGGGCAAACGGAAAGATGAACGGACGGTGCCGATTGTAAAAATGAAATATAAGGGAAAACACACAAAATAGATTTTATTGGTATTGAAACTTAAATTTCCAAGCGAACAAGAACAAATTCAAACAGAAATATACGAAATACGAAATCTGCTTTATGAATATCAGGGTCACAATTTTATAATTTTATAAAACAGTGGTAACATTGGAGACACAAGTAAACCATATAAACAAGGAACGCCATGCCAAGACTGTCCGGGAAATTGTGCCAACAAGTTATGTGGTGAGTTGTATATGGAGTAAGATTACTTTCCTAGCAAAATTAAAAATATGATAGGGAATATATGATTACTTACATTTTTCCTCATATTTTGTGATAAATTTGATATAATTGTTATGAATACATTTCACCTAAATGTATGTATACGTTAAACAAATCAGTTCACAGAGCCCATGTTGTGTACAATATGCTTCTTTTTATACCAGTAAAGACGAATGTTCAAGACATGTAGAAAATCTTAAGGAAATGTTTGTTATGAGTCAACACTAAAATACCGCAGCAACCCAACAACAAAAACATAACAGTCACCTAAAAATCAACAGACGGTCTTTAAGAACATACATGTTTAATCAAAATAAGGAGATATGGTTTGATTCCAAATAAGTCATTCATTCATGAAGAGTCAATGATAAAGATGTGAGCAGTTAAAGATCACAGTTATGACCTTTAAAAATAACAAATTCATACCGCGTATATAAAAGGCCACGGTTTCATGATTTACAACAATAAACGAAAAAAAATATAACGGACAGCAACTAAGGACAATCACTGAATTATTGGTTCCTGATTTGTTGTTTATACCTTATAGTTGAGTGTCAATATAGGCCCTAAAATTCTAAGACTTTTTGATATTAGTTATTAAGGCTCCGTGTTGAAGGCCGTACTTTGACCTATAATGGTTTACTTTTACAAATTGTGACTTGGATGGAGCTCGAGAGTTGTCTCATTAGCACTCATACCACATCTTTTTATATCTATCATTATCATCCGATGAAAAAGTATGATAAAATATCTGGAAAAAAAGAACTAATCTCATTCCGACGTAGTAATTGTTCACTTAAAAAAATACATCTTGAATCGACAGTTTGTGCGACAATGTGGATAGATTTTGCTTCAAAAGACGTTAGCTTAATCGATTTATGACTATTGAACATCGTTATACTATAAATCCAGGTTCAATCCACCATTTTCTAGATCAGCAAATGCCTGTACCAAGTCAGGAGTATGACAGTTGTTATCCATTTGTTTGATGTGTTTGAGCTTTTAATTTTGCAATTGAATTAGGGACTTTCCGTTTTGAATTTTCCTCGGAGTTCGGTATTTTTGTTATTTTACTTTATACTACTATTGCCTTTATTTAAGTCGAAATATGTATCTCGCCTAAATACATAAATTCTATAGCAAATTCATTTTGTTCGAATTTTGAGTCAATATGTTCTAAAAGATAATCTGTCGTAGAAATGCATTGAATGGCATATATTGGTTTCAAATGGAAAACTTTCACATTTTTTAAGATATCACGACTGTTTAGATCTAAAAGTTTCAGAAATAATTTTTGTAAAATCTAGTTTAAAGAATTAAATTAACATAGTACAATTTAAAGACTTCCTGACCTTACTCTTTTACCCGACTACCAAATATCGTTCGTCAATTTTTCAGTTTTCGTTTGCATTATTTCAGTTATAAGTATGTAATCTAACGTCAGCCCAAAATCTGGTTTAATTAAATATCCATGTATTTATTTATACATTTCTGAAAATTATAGATTGCGATAAAGTTTGTTTAAATGGAGGATCCCTTGATTTATCAACATGTACATGTAATTGTAAGAGTGGTTATAGTGGACCAGATTGTTCCTGTAAGTTTAGTTATATTATAGATCCATCTTTGCATTCTTATGACCAAAGCCTCTCTTCCATAAATCAGATATCGCTGCACTTATTTCAGAGTCTAACCATGGGATTGGTATTGTAGAATATCATTATGTAAAAAAAGAACATGAAGCCGATGTTTTCTTGAAAAAATATAGTTCTGTCTATTTTATACATTTATACAGTATTTATTAATATTGATGATAACAACGTCATATGTAATTGTGTTTATAGAGGAATTTTATATCCGTTCGAATACACAATTTAACATCTTTATACCTTTAGAAATTGATTTTATATTTCTGATGTAAAATAATGTTAGTAACAAAAAAATTGTTTTTGTCCTTATAGTGAACTGTGCAACTAAGACAGATCCAGGATATTGTGGTACACAGTATCCTCCTAGTTATTGTGCAACCTTTAGTAATGTCCCATCAGATTGCCCACATATGTGTCAAATATGCCCAAGTAAGTATAATATCTTACTTGTAATAAATTAATGTTTTTCTACTACAACAGCAAGTGCTCTTTTTTATTGACGAATACTTTTACGTAGGAATACTTTTACGTAGGATCGCAGGTAACAGTTCTAGTACTTTATTAAAACTTTTAATTTTGCAATTGAATTAGGGACTTTCCGTTTTGAATTTTCCTCGGAGTTCGGTATTTTTGTTATTTTACTTTATACTACTATTGCCTTTATTTAAGTCGAAATATGTATCTCGCCTAAATGCATAAATTCTATAGCAAATTCATTTTGTTCGAATTTTGATTCAATATGTTCCAAAAGATAATCTGTCGTAGAAATGCATTTAATGGCATATATTGGTTTCAAATGGAAAACTTTCACATTTTTTAAGATATCACGACTGTTTAAATCTAAAAGTTTTAGAAATATTTTTTGTAAAATCTAGTTTAAAGAATTAAATTAACATAGCACAATTTAAAGACTTCCTGACCTTACTCCTTTACCGGACTACCAAATATCGTTCGTCAATTTTTCAGTTTTCGTTTGCATTATTTCTAATCTAACGTCAGCCCAAAATCTGGTTTAATTAAATATCCATGTATTTATTTATATACTTCTGAAAATTATAGATTGCGATATAGTTTGTTTAAATGGAGGATCCCTTGATTTATCAACATGTACATGTAATTGTAAGAGTGGTTATGGTGGACCAGATTGTTCCTGTAAGTTTAGTTATATTATAGATCCATCTTTGCATTCTTATGACCAAAGCCTCTCTTCCATAAATCAGATATCGCTGCACTTATTTCAGAGTCTAACCATGGGATTGGTATTGTAGAATATCATTATGTAAAAAAGAACATGAAGCCGATGTTTTCTTGAAAAAATATAGTTCTGTCTGTTTTATACATTATACAGTATTTATTAATATTGATGATAACAACGTCATATGTAATTGTGTTTATAGAGGAATTTTATATCCGTTCGAATACACAATTTAACATCGATCTTTATACCTTTAGAAATTGATTTTATATTTCTGATGTAAAATAATGTTAGTAACAAATAAATTGTTCTTGTCCTTATAGTGAACTGTGCAACTATGCCAGATCCAGGATATTGTGGTACACAGTTTCCTCCTAGTTATTGTGAAACCTTTAGTAATGTCCCATCAGATTGTCCACATATGTGTAAAATATGCCTAAGTAAGTATAATATCTTACTTGTAATAAATTAATGTATTTCTGCTGCAACAGCAAGTGATCTTTTTTTATAGACGAATAGTTTTACGTACGAATACTTTTACGTAGGATCGCAGGTAACAGTTCTAGTGCTTTATTAAAACTTGACTAATATTTTCTGTCCATTGTTATACTTGTTTCTATGTGTAAAATATAGAATACTATACGATTTGATCTGTTTACAATAGGTTGCTTTGAAGATGTTGTTTTACACTTTATATTTTTCATTTTTCTGTGGTATCTCAAAAACGATCAATATCTGATTTTGATTCACAGGTTTTGCTTACATTAAGTGAATTTGGTATTTGTTATAATTTAAAAAATATTGGTACACATACACAGAAATTTTGTTTTTGATGAAAAGTACAAAATATTTATAATACTTGTTGGTTATCTAATAAAAATATTAGAGGGCAAATATTGGCTTACATAAAACAAAATATTGTATTTGGTTAAAAGTACGACTAATAGCTGAAACAAAACGATATTGTGCATTTTATCAAAAACACAAAAATTGGCTGCCATTTTCAAGACTCTACACAAGAATGATCGTCTACGTGCTCTCATTAAACAGTGTTTTATGTCTGTTTAAATGGAAATTGTAGATGCAGAATTCTTAATTTATGACACAAAACCTTACTTACTTTGTGAAGAATCACATAGTTTTAACTACAATAAAATGCTCCGCTGGGCGCAGCTTGATACGACCGCAGAGGTCGAACCCTGAACAGTTGGGGCAAGTATGGACACAACATTCAAGATTGATACAGCACTGAATTTGGATTGTGATTAAATATTTGACACATCATAGGTTTCTGACACAGAATGAATGTGGTCTAAGAACTTAAATTTTTTTAATTTACCTACTAGTATTCAAACCATATCATTATTGTTTGCTTTTATATATAAATCAGAAATAACCAATTTAAAATGGAAAATTTTAAAGAAAAAAAAAATCCCTCCCCTAAATTTTTTGAACCCCCTTATGATTCATCAACCCCAAACTCAATCCCAGCCTTCCCTTTGTGGTATGGTACCTTGCAGTACAATTTCAGAGAGATCCATATACTTGAACACAAGTTATTGTCTGGAAACTAGAAAAATGCTTGTTTTAGGCCCCTTTTTGGCCCCAAATTCCCAAATGTTTAGGGCAATTATCCCCAAACTCAAACCCAGCTTTCCTTTTGTGATATGGAACCTTGTAGTACATTTCATAAATATCCATACACTTACACACAAGTTATTGTCCTGAAACTAGAAAAAAATGCTTGTTTTTTGCCCTTTTTTGGCCCCTAATTCCTAAACTTTTGAGGCAATTACCCCCAAAATCAATCCCAGCCTTCCCTTTGTGGTATGGTACCTTGCAGTACAATTTCAGAGAGATCCACACACTTGAACACAAGTTATTGTCTGGAAACTAGAAAAATGCTATTTTTGGCCCCTTATTCCTAAACGTTTTGGGTAATTACCCCCAAACTCAAGTCCAGCTTTCCCTTTGTGATATGGAACCTTGTAGTTCAATTTCAGAAAGATCCATACACTTACACACAACTTATTATCATGAAACTAGAAAAATGCTTGTTTTTTGCCCCTTTTTTGGCCCCTTATTCCTAAAATTTTGAGGCAATTACCCCCAAAATCAATCCCAGCATTCCCTTTGCGATATGGAACCTTGTGGTACAATGTCAGAGAGATACATACACTAACACACAAGTTATGTCTGGAAGTTACAAAAATGCTTATTTTTGGCCCCTAATTCCTTAACTGTTGGTACCATAACCCCCAAAATCAATCCCAACCTTCCTTTTGTGGTATTGAACCTTATGGTAAAATTTCATGGAGATCCATTCACTTAAACTAAAGTTAGAGTGCGAAAACCAATGTGTCTTCGGACGACGACGACGAAAACGCCAACGTCATACCAATATACGACCAAAAAATTTTTTATTTTTGCGGTCGTATAAAAACCCCGTAAATGATATCATGAAACAATGGACTTTTTTTTTATCAACAACATATTTTTTAGTTTGCCAGATTTGTATGTTAACAAACAGTCGGTATTTCAGTGGATACTAATTGTTCACCAATACTGGCGGACTTGTTTTTTAAAGCCAAATTCAAAATTCATATCATTCAAAGACAACAGGAACAAGCTGTTAAGACCTGTCCTAGTTTTGCCTGTACAAAGCTAAGCTTTCTAGCTCATTGGTTGTTTTTAATACAACGTAAAACGTTTTTGTATATGACTTTTCTTTATTGTTTGAAGAATTTGCTAGGCTTCTCAATAATTGAGGCGGAAGATGAGCACTGCTCTTGTATGATATTCCGTGCCTTAAAATTTTCTAGTTAAGAGATACTTGCGTTTTATGATCTAAGTATGTTTGTTCTGGAACACAATTTTATGAAGCCTAAAAACTACTGAAAATTAAACGTTCTGAACTGACATAGAGGCAGTTTATACAAGGTTAATAATAAGCAACTCTAGAATAATAAAAAAAAAATAAATGATATAATACGTTTGAATTTATTTGTAAAAACACAACAAAGGATAACAAATATCAAACAGAACAAACCATGGGCCAATAAAAAAGAATTTAAAAGTAATGAAAAAGGAGTAGTAAGTTACGACCTATCTACAACTGACACATCTGGTGAAAAGGGAAGTACATGTTCTTCGACTTTCATTTCGATTCTCAGAATCAGTGTGACAGCCATTGTAGTCATATTCAATGTTCTTTGACATTTGAAATACAAAACCGTTATAATTTTGTTATTTGACTACGAATTTCAAATTATTTTAATGTAGATGGTGGTGTTGCAGTAACTGGACCAAGCGACGGAATTTCTAGTACTTCAACGATCAAAACTTCAGAGCCCGTTACTATTCCATCGAGAAGTACAAGTCCTGGGAAGACTGACACTTCTCAATCTACAACAGCGGTAACAGAAACAACAAATCCTGCGAAAAGCGACTCGTCCAGAAATTCAAGTGTTTTGATGTGTAATCTATTAATTTGGAGTTCTATAGCCATTGTTACCATGCTCAATATTTTATGAAAAATATTCGTTACAACATAAATATTTACGACATCACAGAAATATTAAAGAAACATGAAATATGCTTACAAGGAAAAGTCAATGTTAAGAGGTCAACATACAAACAGAACTATAAGCAAGTGACTATACAAAATGCCAAGTTCTAGAAAGTTAGGAATATAATAAACAGGATAGGCTATTATTACCATTCAGTAGATTAAACAAACGAATACGTTGTCCCCATGTATCTTTTCTCTCATTTGTATAATAGAATTTTCTTATTATACCTCTATTTCAGGCGTCGGCGCTATGTTGTGTTTACCTTGTCCATCCGTCCGTTCGTCAATACTTTGGTTTTTTTCTCTCAATATAAACGAATGTAATTTAGTCACACATTTCTCCAATGCTACAGAACAGAATCACTTCTTATTTGGACAGCAGCTCAACAGACGTTTGTGCGTTGTTCTGGTCCTTCAAAACACTTATTTTATTTTCACTTTGCCGATACTTTGAATTTTGGGTGGGGGCATGCTGAGTACAATTCGAGCATTCTTGTTATATATCATTTTTTTACACATATCGTATTCATATCATGTTCATTTGTATAACATACTGAGTTAAGAAATGTTGGGCAATAGATAAAAGTATAAACAACAACCGATTCATTTAACTATTTTTTATTTCTATTGAGATCTGTTAACCGTATAAAATGTAGTCATAAATTAAAACGATTGCGTAAATCAAAAAAGAAATTATTTTTTCATACTGCTTATATAATGTCCGTTTACTCATTTTTACCTTTAGTTATTTTGAGAAGGTTAATACATCAATCTATATATATATAACTTTAATGCACATGTTGTTATCTTCTTTCAATCTCATAGCTTAAAGACTTATTTTGAAGTATTTGGTTATACAATGTATGTCATTAGAACAAAATACATTATTCATTAAAATGCAGATACATAAAAGCAGATATACATCAATGAGACACAAACCTAACCACAACAAAATACAAAAGGACATTAAGAGAACAAAATATGTTCAAAAGAGGATAACACCCGTTCAATAATAGATATTGATGTTTATAAATAAAGGCAACAGTAGTTTATCGCTGTTCAATAGTCATAATTCGATTAAGCAAAAACAAATCCGGGTAAAAAACTAAAACCGAGGGAAACATATCAACTATAAGAGGAAAACACGGGAACAACAGAAACACTGAACTACAACAAAAGCAAACGCCAACATACTGTAAATAACAACTGCCATATTCCTGACTTGGAACAGAACATTTAAAAAAAAATAAAATATGTCAAGTCAGTATCCTTAGCTTTAACATTTTCGGCTTTGAGCGTTCTTGATGAGGGTAAATCAAGAATGTTGTTTCGGACGCACGAAATTTATCAAGTGTTGTTTTCAGATTTTACAGCACTGGTCGATACCGCTGCTGATGGACTATCAGTCCCCGCAGGTATCATCAGCTCAGTAGTCAGTATTTTGGTAATGACAATGATTTATAACAAATCTTTCTTAAATTGTCTGTTTATAAATTAGTAAGAAACTAAAGTTTCAACTCCCTCAGGCAAAGATGGATTTGATTACTATTTTCAGTTTTTTTGTTGGTCAAACATTGTATTACTCTATAACTGTGTCTGTTCTTATACATCCTTGGCTTTCAAATATTCGGCTTTGAGCGTTCCTGATGAAGGTAAATCCAGAAAAGCGATTCGGATGCATGACATTTATAAAGTTTTTTACAGCACTTAGTCGATATCGCTACTGTTAGACTATGAGTCACCGACGGTATCATCAGTTCATCTGACAGGATTTATAATCAACCTTTCTGAAGAAAAAACGGTCCCACCTCCCTGAGGCAAATGTTGAGCATAGATGGCTACTATTTTAGGTGCTTTTTGCTCATATCGCTCTGCAACTGTTGCATCCTCGACTTTAACATACTCGGCTTTGAGCGTTCCTGGTGTAGGTAACTGCAGAAAGCGTTTTGAACGTATGAAATGTATAAATTGTTCGGTTTTTTTCAAAGTCTAGAAAAAAATATACCACTTAATACATTTGATGCGTCCAAAGCGGTTGCTGTATTTACCCATCCGGACCACTAAAATCAAATAAAAAATCGTAAAGGGTTCCACAGAATCATTTGCAATTGACTCGCTTGCAATGGCTGCTGTCAGTTAAAAAATGCAATGTTTACTTTTAAAACCTAAGTCAATTTATCAGAAAGATATTGAAAACCAAAAACAAATCTATTTTTTCTTTATATGCTATTTCTTTATCATAATAAAGCTTATGTCCAGTCAGCAAACATTTTGCTTGAGTGTCATCTCTTAATCATAAAAAAAGCTTCTTTCCAAGCTGTTAAAATTCTATTAGGGTTTACAAAGTTAATGATTATTTATAAACTTTAACTCAATACTGCTCCTAACTGTATCTAAATGTAAACTACAAAAGCTTTGTTCATTTTGTAGTAACAGAGGGGAAAATTTGGGATCAAATGGGGGAAAATGTTGCTCTGGATACTGTCTTCAGATAATGGAAGTGCATGTGGCCAAGCTTTGTAAAATTCCATGAAAGCTTTACAAAGTTATTGGTGTCTTCAAATCTTTTACTTTAGACTGTATCTAAATTTTAACTGCAAAAAAAAACCAACAATTAAGTCAAGGTATCGGTACAAAATGGAAACACAAAAAAAAAATAAACTGTTGTTCTGGATATCAGTTTTGATCATAAAAGCGTCTGTCCAAGTTTTACAAAATTCCATGAAGCTTTGACAAAGTAAATGAACCTAATATACCTAGATGTAGACGTTGCCGACGACGGAATGAAGAATCCCTATCTCGCTTCCGCAGGCCCCGCAAACACATGAATGTTCAGGATGCATAACCCTTGAGCTATATGACTAAAAGGAATCTTAAAAGAATTATAGTCAAAATCTTCTAAAGGCAATTTTTCCTGAACTTTAAATTCTTAAAAATATTCAAATTTAATTGCGGAAAACTTTTGATGTAATGGGTGATGCAAATTAAGTCGATACCCTCTAAGGTTTTCGTTCAGATGGACAACGTGATGAGGTTACCAGACCTGCTTCCACCATCGGTGGCACAGGTAAAAATACACCGTAGTATACATATGTCAGTTACAGATCAGGTGAACACATAAATATGAGAGTGAAAAACGTTTGAACTATCATCTACTCTTATCGCAGTGAGACTATGAAGACCATTATGGAGGTAAAAACTTGGAGAAAGTCAAAATTTCTATACAAAAATAGGCGAATATGTCATTTTTTTAAATCATCTGCAACATAGACATTTTTCGTACTGAGCCAAACACTGATTATAATTTTTGATTAAATACAAATTCTTGCATAAATAACTTCAGTATACTGCCTATATATATAATACGCCTAACGTATTCATTAGTTAATGACATCGAATCTGGTTAATGAATTATTGCATCGCGTTGTAAGCCAAGTTAAAGATGAATTAAAAAGATCAGTTTGTATGTCTTAGTTCATTGTTCGGAGAATAAAGAACTCCATTAAAAGTTGGATTCCAAAGGAATATTGATGTTGAAGTATTCACATGAAACATATGTAGATGAATAACTACATTATAAACAGAGCTGTTTCGTTGAATCACACTTTGCACAATTTGATTTCAAGTGTTTCATCAATTTCCCTATATTCTTCATAGCACAAGATATCTGACATAAATCCCATAACTAGTTTTATTCGTTAACTTTGAAGATATTTCGTTGACAAACTGAGAATGATATAATAGAAATACATATATTTCCACGAGGTAGTATTCGTAAAACATGAAGAAAAAAATGTTCGTGTAACATAAGATACTGATTAAAAGCCACGTATGTATATACATCTGATTTTCATGTAGTTGGCTTTCACTCTGAGTTTAAGTAGTAATACTGTTTGATTGTTTCCACAGAAAAATTAACTCTTTTGTGATCCCTTTAATAACATTGGTAGAACATCCGCACCATCAACATATATCCTTGTAAAATTATGTTCATTACCTAAAACAAATATAAAAGCAAATGTTTTAATGTATGCCTATAATATTTCTGTTTTCTCATTGGCTACATGATGTAGAATATTATATATTCACCACGGGAAAAATTCATGAGCGGTTAATATAAGATTTGGGACAGCTATCTTGTACTTAATAGTAATTTTCTAGGCAACGTCAATGACGTAGATCTATGAAGTCATGCAAATTCTCGTTTTTGTTTTTTCTGTGTTATTTATTTTTTTAATATTTCAACTTATAAACGTTAGCAACTGCCACAGTAAATAATATCTTTAGCATCAAAACCAATAGCAGTTAAATAACTTGAACAAAAACTCACACAATAAACCAGTTGATACAATGATTTATCAAACTAATCAGTCGTCCATTATCAATTCGTATGATGTGTTTGAGCTTTTGATTTTGCCATTTGATTAGGGACTTTCTGTTTTGAATTTTCCTCAAAATTCGGTATTTTTGTTATCTTAATTTTTATATAACTCTTCATGTGTCTAGGTACTTAAACATCCTTGGTATAAACATTTTTGGGATTTGGCGTTCCTGATGAATGTACTCATATTGAAACCCATCTATATTCTATAACTTAGTATTATAAACTATAAGGGATTTATAGTTGTAATTAGTTTGACAAACGAACTTTATGTAAAAATAAAGAGATGTGGTATGACTGTCAATGAGGCAACTATCCACCAGTTCAAAAGAACTAGATGTTAGCAATAATAGGCCACAGTACGACCTTCAACAATGACAAATACAAATACATTATAGTGGGCTACATAAGGCCATGTAACTCCATTTTACACTATTATATCATGGTGCAACAATGATACACCGTAGAGAGTGATTTAACTGATAATTTCTATATAATTATACTATTTTAGAATAAAATGGGAAGAGAAAGAGTTTGCATTTTACCAATATTTGGGTATGGGGGAATAGAAGGAATTAAATGCATATGAGGATAAATTGATAAAATATGCATCATTAAAATACCGTATATGCTTAAAACACATCATAAATGTGTATACACACCTAAAAACTAATAGCAGCAACTCGGAGCTTATTTCTATATCCTCTCAACTTGAATCCGCTAACTCTATCGATGGTTAAACGTATTAATATATCTTTAGGGGGTTTGAAGATGACCTTTGCCCAGACATTTTTTGCAATGGAAATCTCTCATGAGATAACCATTTGACTTTAGGTAAAAGACATTTCTGGGGCACATTAATTACATACAGGTCAGATTTAATTTAATTTTTTATTGTTAACTGACAAATAAAATCTAGATATCACTTTGGAATTTATGGATCAAAAATTTTAAAACATTGCTCTAAAAGACATAAAGAGGGAAATAATAATTCCAACAGATAGGGAAAAACTGAGAAACCCATTACCGATAAAAAAAAATACCACCAGCAGTATACACAGAACAATAAGGATTTAGGACTCCCTCTCCAAAAAAAACCACAAAAAACGGGATTTGCCTAGGAGAGACTAAAGATATCAAAGGGACATTCAAACTCATAAGTCAAAAATAAACTGACAACGCCATGGCTAAATAAGAAAAAGACAAACAGACAAACAACAGTACACAAAACACATCATAGAAAACTAAAGACTGAGCAACACGAACCCCACCAAAAACTGGGGTGATATCAGGTATCAACTGTATCTGTTGTAAAAGAGAGGCGAAGGATACTGGCGGCCATCTTGGATGATGGTTCGGCTACAAAGTAACAACACTTGGTCAACACCTCATTAGGAACATTCATGCCATGTTTGGTTTCATTCTATTTAGTGGTTCTATAGAAGAAAACTATTTGTATGTATTTCCCATAGGGTTCTATGTTAAACTTACTCCCCCTGCTGGCAGCCATCTTGGATGACAAATCAGCTACAAAGTAACAACATTTGGTCAGCACCTCAAAGGTCCATTCATACCATGTTTGGTTTCAATCCATTAAGCGGTTTTCTAGAAGAAGACATTTGTATATATTTCCCATAGGGTCCATTGTTAAACTAAGTCACCAGTTGGCAGCCATCTTGGTTGATGGATTTGCAACAAAGTAACAAAACTTGGTCAGAACCTCATAAGGAACATTCATGCCATGTTTGGTTTCATTCGATTCAGTGGTTCTCCAAAAGAAGATGTTCGTATGTATTTTCCATGGGGTCCTATGTTAAACGAAGTCCCCCGCTGGCGGCCATCTTGGATGGTGGATCGGCTTCAAAGTACCAACACTTGGTCAGCACCTCATAAGGAACATCCATGTTTGGTTTCATTCCATTCAGTGGTTCTTCAAAAGAAGACATTTGTATATATTTCCCATAGGGTCCTTTGTTAAACGAAGTCCCCCGCTGGTGGCCATTTTGGATGATGAATCGGCTTTTAAGTAACAAAACTTGGTCAGCACCTCATAAGGAACATTCATGCCATGTTTGGTTTCATTCCATTCAGTGGTTCTTCAAAAGAAGACATTTGTATGTATTGTCCATAGGGTCCTATGTTAAACGAAGTCCCCCGCTAGCGGCCATCTTGGATGGTGGATCGGCTTCAAAGTAACAACACTTGGTCAACACCTCATAAAGAACAATCATGCCATGTTTGGTTTCATTCCATTCAGTGGTTCTCTAGAACAAATTCAAAATGTAAAAAGTTAAAGACGACGACAGACGACGGACGACGATGACAACGGACGACGACAACGGACGACGACGACGACGGACGCCAAGTGATGAGAAAAGCTCACTTGGCCCTTCGGGCCAGGTGAGCTAAATAAACAATTGACAAATAAAAACAATCGACCTTAATGCGTAAGTATATGAAAAACAATTTATTTTCAATATGTTTGTAAACACATTTGTTATGCATATTGACATATTATCATTGTCATGAGTAAACCCAACTTCAATTTGGTTTTCTTATCCAATATTTTATATTTTACGATTTCACAATTGGCTTTGAGTTTCATAAATTGATCAATATAAACTCGAAATGTACCTATCAAATTATTTTTTGATGCCATATTGATTTAAATAAGTCGAAGCTACTGCTGATGGACTGCAAGTCCACAAGGGTATAATAACTAAACCAGCAGCGGTCTGGGGATAAAAAAAATTTTAACAAAGGTAAATTCAAAAAGGAAAAGTGCATAAAAACCAACAAAATCAAACGGTAGACTTTATCAACAAACAGAAGGAAAGGAAAACAATTATCATATTCCTGACTTGGTACAGGCATGTTCCAAAGAAAATGGCGTGTAATAAAGTTGCATTAATTTGATACCTGAACATGACAAACGTTTAATATGCCAATTTCTAATATTATCAAGAAGTGTCCTTAAGATAAAAATAGCATATGTTTATGTTAGTTTGCTTTAATGGTAATCAATGTTTTATCATTGGCCTATAAATGTTCGATATTTGCATACAGTGGTGCTTGAGATAGGATTTTATATCTTCAAATTAAGTTTAAAAATAACCTCGTTATTAAGCCTACCCAACTCATTTACAAACATGTCTATAACTAAGCGTGCTAAACAAGCTGTAAATGATGATGTTCTCAAGTTTGAATTCACGTTCTTACCTAAATAGATGAATTTCTGAAGAATATCGTCTATTGTATCATTTTCAAAGATATCAATCTGTGAACCTTCTTTTGTGACGTCAATGACAAGAGCATCAAATGCCTTTCCTACTTCAAAGTTGCCGATTCTATCGGCAATATCCAACACTGAATAAAATCGAAAAAGTGTGTTAACTATTAATATAAAAAACACCATATACGAATAGAAGAATCATTAGATCAGGGAGATCTTAAAATGATACATAAACTACAGCAGATACCTATCCTGTCGATGCATACATGTTTTCATTCATAATGAATAAAAACAAGTAAAAGAAGATACCAATTCGGCCGTTCGAAAATAATAAATCAGAAGTCTCTTCACAAGTTTCGGGTTTTACATGTCCTTGCCTTATGAGGGTTCCTGGTGAAGGTAAATCTAGAAAAGCGCTTGAACGCATACAATTTATCATGTGTTATTTTCATTTTCCAATAAAAACAGATTAAACACTCCAAGATGTCATGACATTTATAATCTCTCTGTCTTTTCCTGTATAAACATAAATTGATGATGAAGATGACTCTTACCTTGTGCACCTCCTAATGTTGCCATCATGAAAGCTTCTCTATGAGATATATGGATCTTCTCTGTGTGAATCGCGTGAAAATTTGACACATGCAAACAGCATCTCATGGCATCATTCATCGATGTGCTGTATCCACCAGAACAATCTACAAAAGGTTAATTTATTAACTGACATACATTGAAACACTACAATTATTCAACGAAATAACTTAGTGAAGGAATAATGACCAAGGAGGAATAATCCAGGAAAGGCGGGAAATCGGAAGGCATGTCTAACAGCTTTGTATATTACACATTTGATTTCAAATAGGTGACAACACTTTACAAGATGTAATATTCTTGCGTAAGGTACCCGTAATTCTTCCAACTCATATAAATGTTATTTATCGCTTTAAACTTTTATTTAGAAAAAGGAAAACAAATACCCAATCTAACAGTTTCCGAAGATTACATGCATTATAAACAACTACAATAAAACTCCACACCGCCTATGAAAACTTGTCTAGCATCATATCCATCAATACAAGTGTCGTTATAATATAATATTATGTAATCAATTTAATTTTCAAATATTGCTTGACTTAAATTTAGCTACACGTTATGTCCGTTTTGGTTTCATCAGCTCTTCAACGTTTGTATTGTAATGCCGGCCTCCCACTTTTTAATGATAAACTTATGTCTGTATAGTTTCTTGAAATTATTGGTTACCATGGTTGCCGATTGGTAAACAATACGTAACAAGCTCTGTCATTGGCCAGTCGGAAGTATAAAAGCAAAAACAACAACAAAACCGACGAAATGTTGGGTTGACAAAGTTGGAAAACTTGAAAAGAATATGTCTGATAATTACAACAAAACGTTTATTTTGTTTTTATCTAAGGTTGTCGGTTCCGGTGCTAATTCGGGATGCCGGTGACGGTGCTAAATACGATTGCCGGTGACGGTGCTAATGTAATTATAGACGGTGCAAATTAGGTTTGTCGGTGACGGTGCTAATGTAGTTATATTGACGGTGCAAATAAGTTTGCCGGTGACGGTGCTAATGAGTAATGTAGTTAGTAGTTGTGTATAAGTTGTTTAACTTTTGACGGTGTTAAATAATTTTGATGGTACCGGTGCTAAATAAGATTGCCGGAGACGGTGCTAATATAGTTATTGACGTTGCAAATTAAGTGTATGTGTGTCGGTGACAGTGTTTAGGTTGTTCGCGACAGTGTGCTTAGGTTGTTATATTGCCGGTTCTAAAGTAATTAATATGTTGTTGGTTTTATTATGCTAAGTTGTTGTTGGACAGCTTTTGAGGGAGGTGGGAGGTTGGGGGGGGGGGCGGGATGTGGGAGAGAAAAAAGGATTCTAAAAGTGGGAGGTGGGAGATAGGGGCGGGAGGTGGGAGGCAGTGTTTCAGTATTATATTTATGAGTTACAAATATTTTGGCCTCAAGCATCACTGGAGAGATATCAATTGTTGTTGAAATGCGCATCCAGAGTAGTAAAATAGGTACCGTTAATATCATAACTACAACTTGGTCGATACCTCTGCAGCGAGGTTCTGGTGGAGGACTGTTAGTCACAGAGGGTATCATTAGCCAAGTGGCCAGTACTTTAGCACTGGCATGAATATACAGATATTGTTGGATTGCAATTTGCTGTGAATTTTTGAAAATCATTTGAAATGAAGGAATATGTCTCCCTCATGCAAAGCTTTGGTTCCTTGTATGAATTTGGTCACATTGTAGATTCTTTTAGGTTTGATTAGCTGTTAAGCGTGTGTGTACTATTTTGGATTTACAAATATTGTGGCCTCGAACATCACTGAAGAAGAATTAATTGTCGTAATGCGCATCTGGTGCAGTTATCAAGCTATTTATCATTCTAATCGAAAACTATTCGATACCGACGAATACACCTACGCATATGCCAACAGGTAACCTTTTTAAGAAGGGGTCATTTCAAGATGTACAACGACCACAGGTGTTTGTATTAAAAAAAATTCCAAGTTACATTTTAAATACTGTATAAAACTTTTATTTTGAATGATTCGCTACTTTATTATCTACGTTTAGTAGCTGAGAATTGACTGATCTTAATATTGTACTTTGTAAAAAAAAATGGGGGTTTTGTGTAAATTATAACTCGGAAATCAGAAACAGGAGCGTGTACAGTCTTTTATAGCGTGAAACGGTGTTGCTGCGCTTTGTCAAATAAACCTTAATATCTGTAACTGTTGGGTTTTTTTTTTTTGGGGGGGGGGGGGGGGCAATTTTTTTGTATGTTTAGTTTTGGGAAATTGTATTTTTTGAGAATTTCGGCAAAAAAATTTTAGTTTTTTTTAGTAGTTCTTGAATTTTTTTATTACTTTTTGCATTTCGATTTTACTTTTTGCAGTTATTCGTTACTTCTGTAATTTTATATCTGGTGGGATATTACACTACAACCATTTTTTTTATATACTTGAGTCACTGAAACGTCCATTACAAATCCTTAGACCTATTGATTTACATTGATTGTTTTTTTTTTGGGGGGGGGGTCAATTTTTTTGTATGTTTAGTTTTGGGAAATTGTATTTTTTGGGAATTTCGGCAAAAAAATTTTAGTTTTTTTTAGTAGTTCTTGAATTTTTTTATTACTTTTTGCATTTCGATTTTACTTTTTGCAGTTATTCGTTACTTCTGTAATTTTATATCTGGTGGGATATTACACTACAACCATTTTTTTTATATACTTGAGTCACTGAAACGTCCATTACAAATCCTTAGACCTATTGATTTACATTGATTTAATATACGCTTGCTCCATAAGAAATAAGATACTTTATTTATGTTCCGAATTTCAAGCAATTCAATTCGCCATATTCGTATATTCTACAGCAACACTGTATTCGTTTGAATGATAGCAAACGGAGACAATAAAAAACACAGATGGAATACCACAAACTTGTTACTTTAAATAATATAAAACTGATGAGAGGATTCGGTGTTTCTAGCTCCGATTCCGAATAAAAAATTATATAAGAAAAAATACATTCTATATTTATTAGATCTGCAACCAAGTTTTACGAGGTCATTCATTCGGTATGTCTAGACATTTTGATACGGTCCCTATATTTTTGTAGCCAGTGTAGGTGTCGGTGTAAGTGTCATGGTAGACGACTTTTCGAAAATGTCTATCTAAAATGTACTGTTACTCACCAGTTCCTAGACCGACCTTGATACCTTCATCTAACAGTTGTTTAACATCACACGTACCACTACGAATTCTATTTATAATAAAAAAAATCATTACGTAAGTACAAACTCGTCATATACTTCACCATGCCACCGCAAATCTGAACTAACTCTTATCCTCCTATACAGGCTGACCTTAACCCTTCAATTGTCTTTGTCTAACCACAATGAGTTCATATTTTCTTTTTCCTTCAGGAATTTCCTTATCTATATGGATACTTTTTTATTCATTCAATGAACTATGGTGTCAACTCCCTCAAACAAAGTTGATCCTTTTTTTCATACAGCTCCTTGTGTATTCGAGATTTTAACACCATTGCCTTTCAAATTTGTTTTGTTCTGATAGTTACTGATGAAGGTAAATCCTGAAAACGTAGCGGACGAGTCAAATTTATAAAATCGTCATTTTCGGTATCTACGTCGATACCATTGCAGGTTTACTGTTAATCCCCGAAGGTATCATCAGCTTTGTAGTCAGTGTGTCGGTACTGACATGACATTTTAAATATTTTTCCTAAATTATCTGTTAATAAATTTAGAAACTAATTTTCCGACTCCCTCAGGTAAAGATGACCTTAGACGAAATGGGTTATTTTTCTTTAATGTTCCATTTGGTCATATAGCTCTTTAAGTGTTCATGTCTTTAAAAATTCTTTATGATGATTTACTTTTTGGGTTTGAGCAATCCTGATGAAAGTAGACCCGACCCAGACAAGCGCTTCGAATCGGAAACATCAGATTTATAAAACCATTGTCGTTGCTGGTAGACTGTTTATATACCCGATGGCATCAACAACTCAGTAGTCAATTCTTCAGTACTGACATGATTTATCAATGACTTTTTTTGAATTTTCGATTGAAAAAATTTAAAATTATTTAAACTGAGGTCCCAACTCCCTCAATCAAAACCTAAAATTAATTTGGCTATTCTTTGAATGACCCTTTTGCCCATATAGCTTCTAACGTATTCAAGTATACAAAGTACAAATGCATTCATATATCCTTGGTTTGTAAATATCTGGGTTTGAGCTTTCATTATTTATTAAGTGTTATTTTCATTTTTACCATTGTAAAAAAGAGAGAATATACAAAAGGTACCATCAAAATGCACAAGTCGAATAGAAACCGACATGACCATGAAAAAACGAAAAACGACGAAAAGACAAACAAAAGTATATAATTATATTTAAGAACCACAAGAAATGCACAACCATCTATGCTTCTATGCTTGAGTGTCCAAATGAACAAAGCCATCTACGCTTCTATGCTTGAGTGTCCAGTTGAAATGTTACTGCAACTCTCTTTGCTAATCACTATTGACCCTAAATACGATTATGTCTGTCATGTATAAATATTATGGAGTAGCCGGCAATAACAATGAAATGTTACTGCAACTCTCTTTGCTTATCACTATTGACCCTAAATACGATTATGTCTGTCATGTATAAATATTATGGAGTAGCCGGAAATTACAATATACAGATCTACAAACCAATAACTAACTGCTAAAATGTCCAAATATAGAATACTTACGATGTGTTAGAATTAGGACAATGAGAGATACCACATTCACGATCTTTCACTATTTTCCTCTCTTCTGTTGTTAAATAAATACCATGTGCTAAAACTGTCTACAACAGAAAATTTGCAAACAAATGTGAAATTAAATGTATTCCAATGATCAAAATGAAAATACAACTACATTAATAAGACACGTCCGAAACGCTTTTATTTGTTAAATTTCATCAGGAAAGTCTACTCTAAAGTCAACCAAGAGTACTACTGCAGGCCAATGAAAGGTAAAACAAATATAATTACTATATGATTTGCATATCTACGAATACATAAACGGGATTGGTCCGTTAGAATGTCTTTCCTTGGTGTACACTTCGACAGCTGATGATGCCGAAACAACTTTCTAAAAGTCACTTATGGCGAACAGCGTAACTGATGAGGAACATGTATAATGCGAATCGAAAGTAATCATACAATGTTTTTTATGCTCAACGTTTATAAAAATTGTCGTCGTAGGAATAGAAAAATAATAATTGAAATGATTTGGAAAATCTTCCATTTTCCTCTTTTCCTACTCTTCAAGTTAACAAAATATCAAGTGCATATCGTTACTATAAAACCCGTTCAATGTAAATTTCTAAGACCACATATAAAATTTTGTGAAAGAGCTCTTATTCAATATTATGTAATATAATAATGTAACGAAATGTGGGTCCCCTGAAATGGAACTTGTTTCCCCTAAAATTGTGTGATGACGTTGTTTAAATCTTACCGATAATTGACTTTTCTTATTATATATTTCTTGTATAACTATGTTTAAACATTGATAACTCTAAAACTTTTTATCATTCTTGCCTATGTTGTTACATAGGAACACCTGTGCATTGTGTACTTAAAATGACGTACAATGACGTCATTACCTATTTTGGTAATCACCAGTTCCGGTTTTGGTAATTTAGGTATTTTCCGAAATGGTAACAAATCGGTAAATTGGTTTACCTAAGTATAAATACGGCGGAGAATACAGATAAGTCTTCAGCACGATTTTACCCTGGGCAAGTAACACACGTTAATTCCATGCTATTTTGATATACGTACAGATACCATGTACCAGACCAAGTAGTTAACCAGATAGCCAACACTATTACAATGTCCGAGGAGACGACGTCCGTATAATGTGGGTTTGTTAATTCCTTTCAAAGTTGCATTTAGAGAATAACTTCTCGAGAGAAACTTTATCTTTTGGCATTGAATTTGATTTACCATTTGCCGATTACCAAACTACAATTAGTAAACTTTCTGGGTATATTTTTTTCCGCTATCCATTTTCTTTAATGCACGATAAAAGGTTAATAAAGTATTTATCTGTAAGTCTAAAAAACTGTTAAGTTATTTAATATTTATATGTATTGTTGATATTTAATACATCTTAAAGTTAATATAAGTTGAGTTTTATTTAACGAGTCTGTTATTCTTACAAACATCGAGAGTTACCATACAAAAACCTATACTCCAATCTACCCTTTTATATCAGAGTCATTACCTTACCAGAGGAACCAAACCTTACCAGTGTGTATTCAGAATACCAGAGTACCACATAGTACCACGATACCAGAGTACTCCATAGTACCACGATACCAGAGTCCACGCTACCAAATAAGAGTCACCAGATATAACTTTTAATTTTTATATACTCGTTCATTCTAATATAACACATTCTTATAGCAACGCACTAAGGGATAAATATTTATAGTTTACACTAAGGCCCGACCGCGCGGTTTTCGTTACAGTGGTGGCAGCGGTGGGATGTACCTACATTTTTATATTCTTTCAAAAAGTGTAATTATATTCAAGATAAGGCATAAATAAAAATAAGTAAAATGGATAGCGCGGAAAATAAATTTGAAACACCTAGGTTAACTGCCCAGGGTAGACCAGTGCTCCCCCGATCTCGGTCCTGTGAAATTTTCCTATGCCTACTTGCCTATGTTTTTACATAGGAACACCTGTGCATTGTGTACTTAAAATGACGTACAATGACGTCATTACCTATTTTGGTAATCACCAGTTCCGGTTTTGGTAATTTAGGTATTTTCCGAAATGGTAAATGGTAAACCAAATCGGTAAATTGGTTTACCTAAGTATAAATACGGCGGAGAATACAGATAAGTCTTCAGCACGATTTTACCCTGGGCAAGTAACACACGTTAATTCCATGCTATTTTGATATACGTACAGATACCATGTACCAGACCAAGTAGTTAACCAGATAGCCAACACTATTACAATGTCCGAGGAGACGACGTCCGTATAATGTGGGTTTGTTAATTCCTTTCAAAGTTGCATTTAGAGAATAACTTCTCGAGAGAAACTTTATCTTTTGGCATTGAATTTGATTTACCATTTGCCGATTACCAAACTACAATTAGTAAACTTTCTGGGTATATTTTTTTCCGCTATCCATTTTCTTTAATGCACGATAAAAGGTTAATAAAGTATTTATCTGTAAGTCTAAAAAACTGTTAAGTTATTTAATATTTATATGTATTGTTGATATTTAATACATCTTAAAGTTAATATAAGTTGAGTTTTATTTAACGAGTCTGTTATTCTTACAAACATCGAGAGTTACCATACAAAAACCTATACTCCAATCTACCCTTTTATATCAGAGTCATTACCTTACCAGAGGAACCAAACCTTACCAGTGTGTATTCAGAATACCAGAGTACCACATAGTACCACGATACCAGAGTACTCCATAGTACCACGATACCAGAGTCCACGCTACCAAATAAGAGTCACCAGATATAACTTTTAATTTTTATATACTCGTTCATTCTAATATAACACATTCTTATAGCAACGCACTAAGGGATAAATATTTATAGTTTACACTAAGGCCCGACCGCGCGGTTTTCGTTACAGTGGTGGCAGCGGTGGGATGTACCTACATTTTTATATTCTTTCAAAAAGTGTAATTATATTCAAGATAAGGCATAAATAAAAATAAGTAAAATGGATAGCGCGGAAAATAAATTTGAAACACCTAGGTTAACTGCCCAGGGTAGACCAGTGCTCCCCCGATCTCGGTCCTGTGAAATTTTCCATGATCTGACGCCGACCGGAGAGATAGGCATAAGAGTGAACCAAGATCAATGGCCCTCACAAGAGAATACGAATAGATACGAAAAGGATGGTATACATCATACTGACAATAGGCCATTGTCAGGGGATCTATCACCATCAAGGAAAGTGGCCATTGACCAAGCGAAAAACCCGGAAGTTTCAAATAGGGCAACGGTTGTGCATTTGGAAAAAAATGCAGCGCGTACGGTAAAACAGAATTTTGGTGAAGAGTCAAGGACTCTTTCGGACCATGCTGCCAGAGGGTCTAGGTATGGGTTTTGGAGTCAGAAAGCAAGGGATACTGCTGAGGGAGACTCCGGGAATACAAGACGAGGCGCGACGTCTTGTGAATCCGATGCCCGACGGGGTAGATGGGATTCGGGAGATTTACCTAGGACTTTGGACCGGGGCGTACCCCATAATCAGGGGGCAACGTACCAAGCATTACCTTTGACGTCCCGCGGACGATTCAGAGTGGGGGTTAACGGGACCGACCATGATCACCGTACTGATGAAATGACCAGTAATACAAATTATGCTGGCATTAGCAATGAACAAAATTTTGAGCGTGATTATGATTTAAACTAACAAAATACAAAATATTACAAAAAGAAATCAGCACTTTATGATGGTGAAAGTAATTGGGAAGACTATTTAGTTCAGTTTGAATTAATTGAAGCAATTAACAAATGGTCTGACATAGAGAAAGCTTTAGAACTAGCTACTAGCTTAAGAGGTACCGCCCAAAGTATTTTAACCGATTTAAGACCAGAGATGCGGACCAATTTTATACAACTGACAGCCGCCTTAGCGTCTCGTTTTCAACCAGAAAACCAAGCAGAAATGTACAGGGCGCAAATGAAAAATAAAATACGCGGACGCACGGAACAAATACCTGTGTTAGGCCAAAACATAAAACATCTAGTAAGATTAGCGTATCCATCAGCTCCGATAGAGATTAAAGAACAATTAGCATGCGATTGTTTTATTGATTCCCTAAATGATGTTGACATGGAATGGGCTATTTTCCAGGCCAAAGCAAAAAGTATTAATAACGCTATTCAAATAGCTCTTGAATATGAAGCATTCCAAAATGACAGACGTAAACACGGCACTAAGCTAGTTTGTGCTGTAAATGAAAATGATAATTTTGATCTAAATAGGAAAACTTATTTGTCTGAACAAGTTGATGACATTTCAGGTCGTCTTGCAAAAATAGAAAATAATAGAAAAAAATAAGAAAACTTTTTCTTGTTACCATTGTGGGGTTTCCTGTAATTAAAAGGGAATGTCTCCTATTGAATAACCGATCCCAAAGGTTAGATGGTAACAGAAATAAAAACTTAATTCCAAGAAAAATGGCAGACCAAATGTCTGGTCGGGGAAACTATTAGTGGCTGAAACTGAGGACCAAGTTTCAGCCGAAACTAAATATGATTTTGAAGAATCCAATAATTTTGAAAAATTGAATCAGATAAATATTTTCTGAAAGAATATATGTACATTTTGTAATTGTCACTGTTATGACATGAAATTGAATTGTTTGATTGATACCGGGTCCACTGTTAGTGTCCTTAACTCATCCATGTATAATATCATGTCCAAGAGTGTAAAGCCAGTGTTGTCCAATGCACGTAGTGGTTTTCGCATGGCTAATGGAAGTGTAGTTATGTCGATGGGGACTGCTGAATTACCAACGCAGTCGGATAATAAAATTGTGTATCACCGTCTCATTGTTGCAGACATAGATATACTTGTACCAAGGATTATTTAGTTTGATTTTTAAAGATAAAAGTCCATATATATTGTATAAGGGAAAGAGTATTTTTTTCAAATTGACGTTTAATTTATTTCAGATTTTTATTAATATTGCTTACATTTATTGAATGTTTAAATATGTAACTTATTTTCAGGAAATTCAATTGTACAATTGTCTTTTATGAACATTCGTCCCGCTGAGAATATTTGATGGTACTCTATAAACATT